ATTTGAGGATGAAGGAGCTACGGAGAAGGGCAGCACAGTCCGTTCTGGAGAGGGTCTCCTCAACGCGGCCCAGCTCGCGTGCCCGCCTTGCTGAGCCTGGGACGTGGGTGTACAGTTCCCTATCAGAGTCTGCTGAATTGCTGTGTGTTTTCCCCATGCTTCTGGCACGCAGAAAAGCCCAGGCAATGAATTCTTGTCTTTTTTTGGACTCCGAACTCTGCAGAGGGATTTTCTGAACTAAACATTGACATACGCTCATTAGGCTTCCTCAGATAACCGTGCTGGAAGACTTGGCTCCCTAACCTGAGCTGAAGATTAGTTTCCTGTTTCATTTTCTGTTTCTTTGTAGCTAAAAATTAAGTCATAATTGTTTTGTTTTAGATTATTTTAGTCTGCTATGTCCTATGAAAATGAAGTGGTTATTCGTGATAGCTGGATTGACTATGCGTGTTTTATTCCATTGATATAAACATAAAAGCTGATAGAAATGAAAGCCAGTGTGAAATGTTGCTGATAATTTTATCCTGCAGATGATTTTTAACTGCTGCGGCAGTTGTGCCCTAATTTAATGCTTTTCCTGGAGACGTTTTGAGTTAGCATCCCTGATGTGATGAAACTTCATTTAAAAGCTGTTTCAGTGCGAAAGAATTTGTTATTTTGCAAATTAATCCGGGGTAGTGTCCCATTCTTTCCATATTACTGCAGACAGTTCAAAACCCGCTCTGCTAATGACTATTAAACTGCCAGGGAAAGAACGTCTTGGTTTTTATGAAGCATAAACTGGGCAGTGTGAAAGCAGAGGTGTTTCTGGGTTTCCTTTTGGATTGTGTTGCTGGGAAGTCCAGCTCTTGAGACCGCACTTGTGTGATGATCCACATCGAGGGCTCCCTTTTAATTCATTGCTTAGCGACTCCATTAGCAAATAAATCCTGATTGCACAAGGTCAGGGTCTGCAAAGGGGAGCAGTAGTGGTACTGTGCAAATAGTTAATGCTGTATTCGGGAAGCAAATAGTTTTGCAAGGTGACTTAAATTTTTGGTTCTTTGCTTAAGATTTTCCAGTTTTGCAGCGCTTGGTGCTCACCCCAAATTTCCACTTCTGTCAAGAAAAATAGCTTTGTGGTCTCAGAGGTTATTCTGAGAGCCATGTAACTCCCAATAGGGTTCAGTATCTTAGTTGTGTTTATATTGATCTAGGGTTCAGTATCTCAGTAACACTTGTATTGATTATGTAAATCAGATGCTGATGAGGTCTCAAATGAAGGATTATTTATTTAAGAAACGTTGAAAAATCTACATCATAAATTTAAAATTTTAATCGAAAGTAACTCCTTGATCTGAAACACTTTATTTTCTTCCCAGTGCTTAAAATTTACCCCGAGAAGTTGAGGTCCCCAGTTAAAGGAAGTTGCCTTAACTTTCTTCAGGAGTGAGGAAAGACAGWCTGCTTCTAGAGGGGATCTATCAAATCCTCATATAGGCCTCTCCAGAGAGTTTAATACTTCTTAATTTAGAAAGCTTTCTCTTCCTGCTCTGTTACAGCCGTGAGGAGCAGAGAAGGGGCTGGCGGTGGCTGCTGCAGCCCTGCAGAGTCCTGTGCTTTTCCCCAGTTCTCTGTTCTCCCCGGCAGGTCTTTGCCGCCACCACCTCCCTTGTTGGATCCAGGTGGATGAAACTAAACATTTTCTTTGCAGAGTTATTTTTCTAGGCAGAGCAGTTCYCTGCTCTGGCTCTCCTTGGTGGCTTCCTGCCTGATGCTGGGCTCAAGTGGCTGGAGACGTGGTCTGGAAGCTGGGATTAGCTCTAGGCAGCATTTCTGAACCCAGCTGTGCTCCCTGAAAGCTGGCGTAAGGACAGGTCACTTTGCAGGGGGCATCGACACTCGTCCTGAAGTGTGTTGCTTATTCATTTCTAGGCATATACATTTAATCAGCATGCTCTGTGGGGATATGAATAAGCAGCCTGTCTGGTTATTGTCTCAATGTGGCTCCTGCCCAACAATTCAACTTTTCCTCTGTATCTGCCCTCTAAATGTTTCCCCTGTGTTCTGAAGCGCGGCTGTGCCTGGAGCTCCGCAGCGAGGACAGTGCAGAGCAGAGCGGACCCTTGTGCTCCTTGTGCTGCTTCACGTGGGTTCGAATGATGCTGTGCTGCCAGCTTGGATGAGCAGTGGCTTGAAAGAATGGAAAAATGCTATTTCTGTAGCCGCCTGACATCTTCTGCAGCTTCCTGCCCGCTGTTACTGTTTTCTTTGCAGGCAGGATACGCGTTCCCTGTGGAGCGGCAGGTAGGCAACGGTCRGCCCCTACAGCTGAGCTGCTCCCTGCTCGCCCTTAACTGTGGCTTTGCACACATGGGTCTCATCCAGTTTCTAAATCTGATGATTAGCACAGTACATGGGTGCTGATCCTTGATTTGCAAATTCCAAATTAGTCTCACGAGAGAGGAGACTTGCTCCCTCTTTAGATTGCTGCTAGCTGTGGAATCTCTTGCTTCAAATTAGAAGCTTCCATCAGAGATGCTTTTTATAATTTAAAAAAAGTCTTTTTGTTTTTTTACAGTTCATAGTAGCAAGAAAAAAAAAAACCTTTAAAAGCAGTAAGTCCAAATGTTCAAGGTTATGACCATATTTGTCTTCATAAAATATTTAACAAAGATTATTGTTAACAGACATGTAAAAATGTGCTTTCTTTTTCCCCCTGAAGCACAAACGAGTGATTTAGTTGTTGAATAAAGGTATTTCAGTTCCTGAGTTCCTGGTTTATTCATAACTAATTCACTGGTTTGATTCCTTCTTTCTTAAAAAAAAAAAAAAAAAAAAAAAAAGATTGTGAGCACCTTTTGTAAGGTGCTTCTGGGGGAAAAATAATGGCAATATTTTTCAAAGTTTCTGCTTTTTTTAATTAAAAAGGGGAGGCAGAGGGCAGTTTCGCAAAGGTTTCCTTGATTGCCTGCAGCAACCAGTTGTTTTCTGTTCCTGTTGTGTGGCTGAGCACAGACAGAGGATTCGGTTCCCCCTCCGCAACGGCTTCCAAAGGATTCCTTTCGCTGGCAAATGTAGCAAAGCAATTGTTTTGTTTTGTGTTTTCCCCCTAATACAAAAAAAAAAAACTGCAACAGGGCAATCCAAAACACTGACAGGTGACTGGCAGGGAAAGGGATTTGAGGCCGCGATGGCCTGTTTTCCTGCAGGGGTTGGCCTGGGCCTTGCGTGCCCAAGCCCACCTCGCATCCCTTGTGTGTTGAAGAACTATTAAATTTTCACCCAAACGAGCTGCTTTTTAACACGGCTTTTCAAAGCCTCGGCAGATGGAAAAGCGGTGAGCGAGGCGAGGTGAAGGAAGTGGCGTGGCGGGGCCTGGCGGCCGGCTCCCCGCTCCGGGAGAGGCCCGCGCTTCGCCAAATAAGGAAGCGGACATTTTGGTTGTTAACTTTACGGGGAGCCTGTGCCCAGAACTATATTCATCATGCGGATGCGTTTCCAGAGGAACGCTTCTCTTCCAAGTTGCCTTAGTCATAGTTTTAGCACTCTGTCACATCTTTGCTGACTTATTTATATAGTCTGCGTGAGCTTGCTGTGCATCCACTGSTAGCCTGCCCTAAAAAGGTGAACTGTTTATGATTTTTCTCGTTTTGGATAGCAGAAGAGACGGGCCTAAACCAGCGCCAGCAGCTTCATCTGTTTCGTACTGAAAAGAAGACCCCTTTGTGGGCTGTGCTTAACTTGTGTAAAGTGACAGAAGATGCTTCACTTGGGGAAGTGAGGAGCACTCAGGTCCTCAGGCATGGGCAGAAGGCRAAATCAGAGTTTGGTGCATGTGGTAGATAATGTTCAGGAGTTATAGATAGGACTCATTTACACTACAATTTTATTTCTTTTTTTTTCCCCACTGGCAACACAGGCAGTCTGAARTGATTTGACAGAAAAATGTGAAACATCTGGTATTGTTGCTGGATAAAACTTGTTAGCAAAGTGTTGAAGCTGGTTCTAGAGGGCCAGTTCCCTCTGTGTTTGGTCTGGGTATGGAAAATAACAATTCTGAAGGACTCTAAATGAGTGTGGGAAAAACAAATCCTAACTGCARTGCTAATGTAAGGGTTGCTGTCTTTACTGCTGGTCTGTATGAGTGATAGTAATATGCCATTAATAATCACTTATTACACAGGAAAAGATTCTACTACCAAATTTACTTTTCCCTGGCTAAATAACAAAGCATTTGTCAGAACACAGATGTATTATTTTTTATATTTTCAGGATACCAGGTAAGACCTTAATTTGCAGTAACAGTGTAGGGCTACCAAGGAGATTGCTGGTCTGAGCCCAAGGTCTCAGAGTGCTTATAATGAGTAAAAGAGAAGTGGAATTGAAAATAACCCCAAAGTTTCAAATAAGTTATGTAAACTGGTTGGTTCACTACCTGCTCTTAAATATGAAGAAAAACTAAATGAAGACTGAGTGGTCCATTTGTAGTCCAGTTGTAGACCATAATCCCAACATTGGAGTACTTGGCAAAGTTCCAATAATAAATAGGGAAAATAGCAGTTCAGTAATCCTATATTATTGTTTRTAAGCATTCACATGTCTTGTCTCCATACAATATACTGATTATATAGGTTGCATGTAGTTATTTTTCATCAAGATCTATAACATTTAAAAAGATAGAATTGTTTTTATTTTCATAAGGAAGATATTACTCTTATGAGGAAGATATAGGGAAGAATTAAGTTCGTTATGAGATGATCATAAGAGTATTTTAAAAGCACTTAAAAAGAACATAGCCTGTGTGATACACTCTGAATATAAAATTTCGTCTACACATATGGTTATATTTAATGAAAAACACATCTGTCCAATRAGCAAGAATAAGACAATGATCAATATGTTGTATCTATGTCTTATTCCTTGTCTCCTCTGAAAAATAATTACCTGTTTGTACTTTCATGCTTTTTTTAAATTTATTGTTTATAGTAAATCATACAATTTGATTTTCTGCTTTTATTTTTCAGACTAATTTAAAACTGCTTGCCTGGGCTGGATTCCTATATTGCTTAATATGGAGTGGATTTGCACAGCAAGGTAAATGAGTTTATTACCTTGAAATACTTTGATTTTGCTTTAAAATGATATATATTTAGCAGCTATTTCTGTAGCTAAATATTAGGCAAGTGCTAGCAGCAGTATATTACTCATTTCTATTAATAACATGCTCGTAGTTAGAACTTGATTTATGAGTCCAGAATGAAACAAACTAAAATTACACTGTTACTAGCACCCTTTTCAAAAGTTAAATGACTGATCTGTATTCCTTGGTAGGTGGAAGTGACTGCATAAAAGCCAATGCAAAATCATGTGGTGAATGTATACAAGCAGGACCAAACTGTGGTTGGTGTAAAAAAAATGTAAGTATTACTGCAAAACTCTTTTTATATTTTTTGTTAGTTTCAGATTTAACCAAATATTCGATATGTATGGAAATGTCCATATACACCAATAACAGTTTCCTGTAGCTCTTCAATTTATGTACTCCAAAGTTTGGATATGATAGTGTTAATGAAGTCCTGATTTTAGTAGATCTGTCATTCATCATGAGTCTCCTGTTCTGTTGCTAAATACAAAGTCCATGTGGACCCTAAAGGCTGTCTCATAGTTATTTAAAAGCATTCCAGCATGGAGTCTGTCTGGGTACATTTAATTATATTCTTTAGTGACCTAAGAGTAGGGGTAATTTTAGACAGACATAGGTGGGGTGGAGGAAGAGATTGAGGGTTTGTTCTTTAAAATGAAAAGACGTTCAAATTTTAGTATTTTCTTGATGGTAGACTGGGTTGTGATAGGCTGGCTTGTGGAGGTATGCAGTGTTTTAGTCTGAAACACAGAATGGCCGATATTTAGTATCTTTAGAAATGGAGAAAATCTTTAGAATGCATTTATAAGCAAATATTTAGTGGAAAAATATTTTTTCAGACTTTGTTTCGCTTGGCTTTATTTGTATTTGAGGTTAAAGTTTTTTGTGGGTTTGAGGTAATGGTAATTTGTGTTCAGGGCAAAGTAATCTTTATTCATATATTTATTTTATGTGTGGATCCTGCTTTTGTAATGAACTTTCCCAAAATGAGAGTGGTTGTCTTGTCTTTTCCCTGCTCTGTCAGCATCCTGCCATTTTTTTGATGTGTCCTTTCCATGTACTCTTATGTAATCTTTAATTAAAGCCTTCCCAAAAAAAAGAGGGGGGAAGAAAAGAAGCTTTAAAGAAGGGTAGTTGCAAGACAGGCTAAACAGATTTATTCACTTTATTGGCTCAAAGATATTGAGCTTTTTCCATCTGCTGGCACTTCCAGAGAGCTGATTTAAGAGGACGTCCTGCCTCTGTCAGAGATGACATTGGGCTTTTTTTTCTTCATTCCTCTTATATCTTGTGTACAGATCAGCATAAGTAAATGTAAGTAAAAGTAAGTTGAACTACTGTTGGACTAGTAGTTCAACATTTAATAATTCAACATTCATTTAATAAAATTCAACATACTTCAGGACTGCGTGGGGTTATTGTAGAAAGTGTCACAGTCTGTAGGGTGTAAGAAATTGCAAATGCCCATAAACTTGATATTCCTACCCATGTTTTTCTAGGACTTTTTGCAAGAAGGAGAACCAACGTCTGCCCGATGCGATGACTTGGCAGCAYTAAAGAGTAAAGGCTGCCCTATAGAAGATATAGAAAATCCAAGAGGTAGTAAACAGGTGCTTGAAGATAGAGAGGTAACAAATCGTAAGATAGGTGCTGCAGAGAAGCTGAAACCAGAAGCCATTACACAGATCCAGCCACAAAAATTAGTACTGAAGCTAAGAGTTGGTAAGGAAGGTTTCATTCTGATCRTTGTATGATTTTGTTTGTTTTTGTCACATCCGCATTTCATGTTTTGCTTGTTTTACTCGTTCAGGTGATTTCAGGTTAGAATCTTGAAAGTCTTCATTACAGACCCTGGAGTAGATTGTGATTCTCATTTTTTCAGTTGAGGGCAGAAGCATCCCAAGCAGGGACGAGGCAGGAGCTGGCAAAGCCAGTTGAGGAGTTCGTTTCCTCTCCCTGTGGTGTTTTTTGCTTTGGGGATAGGGATGTGTTTTTGTTTCTTAAACTCTGATGCCGATAACAGGTCCTCTGTTACTTGAGCAGAATGAGACTTGGTCCTTGAGTAGAGCTCCTGGGGACTGCATCAGAACAACCACCTTGCAGTGCTGGTTGGAGAGTCTGCACTGGGAGGCAGCTGCTTGGTAGTGGCTGCTTTAATAAATGCAAGACGATCAGAAGCAGCTTAGCACAATGGGAGAGGGAAGGAAAGGAATGAAAGTTATTTTGGAATTTTGATTGTTATCCCAGTTTTATTCTAACGGGAACTTTTCAGCTTCCAGAGACCAGATTATTGTCCTTCTGTCAAAGCAGAGGTTTATTTAGCAGAGCAKAGAGGGATTTCAGCAACTAAATCATAATTTCCCAAAAGATCATTTCTCTATTTATAAGCACGTGGCTTGGTCGCAAGGTCTCTGCACCCATGTGCACTTTGGAGCCCCGCATGTGTTTAGGGCAGCATGTATGTGTTAAGGGCAATGTGTATGTGTTAGAGTTTTGTTTTCCATGTAGGGTCTTTGAAACAGCTCAGTAAATACAAAGCTTTGGCTTTGGTGCTTTTTGTTTATTTTCATTTTTGTTTAATGTAACAGATGGGCAGCTTCTGCATAGCTGGATCCACATGGTTTCCCCTGATTGCTATTTTGTTCAATAATAAGGAAATACATGCTAAATATTAAGCAGACTTAAGCAACAGTAGTACCACTATTAGGTACCCCGAAGGGAGGAAGGAGAGGAAGCCTTATAGAAACCTTATAAATCTATATTACTTATTTCACACACAATAGACAAAAGTACTTTTTCATATAGAAGTAATTCTTCTGCAGTGTTTTTCAATATAGCATGTCAGTGGGTGAGACTACGTGTTTCTGTTATCAAGCTCAGGGTTCATTCTTGCAGACAAGACTAACTCATCTCACTGCTCTATGCACTCACCCCATGTTTGATGCAAAGTAACTTGAAATATGCTATCCAGAGTAGATTTATTTTTTTTTTACACTGATTCAATGCTATTTCTTTCTACACTAACGGCTAAGAATTTCTGGAGTCAACTTTATTGCAAGTAGATGTTAGAAAACTTGTGTTGTTATTACAGAACCTTTCTAGAAGGTTCATACATTGAATTTTCAAGTAGGGAGAACTGGAAGGTTTGAGTTCAATACTCGAGAATTTTGTGTGGAGAAATCATATATCTTGAAATTGTGTAGCTGGACATGGGAAATAAATAACTGCTTCTTGATGGTTTTTTTCATCATACTTTAATGTTGTTTTCAGTTAGTATGAGGAAAAAGTTGCCCACTGTTAGTTTGGATCTTGCGTCTTTATGGATAGTCTTTGAGRTACTGATAATTTTTTCTTGCTGGTGCAGTAATTCTGGAATGTTTAATGGCTTCTGTTTAATCTCTGAAACAGGGGAACCTCAAACATTTTCATTAAAATTTAAGAGAGCTGAAGATTACCCTATAGATCTCTATTATCTTATGGACCTCTCCTATTCCATGAAAGATGATTTAGAGAATGTGAAAAGTCTAGGAACTGCTCTGATGTTTGAAATGGAAAAAATCACYTCAGACTTTCGAATTGGTAAGAAAGAGACATGTATTCCAAACAAATGAAGTTTCTCTCCTGATGTTTTTCACATAATTACCTATGAATAACTTTCTTTTTTTCCTTATGCTGCACTGTTATGGCTGGCATTCTGGCAAATAGATTAATTTAAGGAATACAACAATACCTGATGATGATGGAGAAAGTGGAATGTAAAGAAGTATGAGGGCTATTTCTGAAGTCATTTCAGCTATAGAAAATTGTAGTCTATTATATCATGATATAAATAAGAATTCCATTCTTCAACTTACAGTTTTTTGTTCTTCTCTCTTAGGCTTTGGYTCTTTTGTGGAGAAAACTGTGATGCCCTATATAAGTACAACACCAGCCAAACTCAGAAACCCTTGTACAGGTGATCAGAACTGTACAAGCCCGTTTAGCTATAAAAATGTCCTGAGCCTTACCAGTGAAGGAAATAAATTCAATGAGCTTGTAGGCAAACAGCACATTTCTGGTAATTTGGATTCCCCTGAAGGTGGCTTTGATGCAATAATGCAAGTTGCAGTTTGTGGAGTAAGTGTGTATCAGTTTTTCTTTACTTTGSTATTAAATAAATTGTTTTAGAAGGTCCTTAGTGTCTTTCGGGGCCTGACTTCRATAGACTAGACAGACCGTGAATTTGTCTTTCGTAAGTAAAAATACATGAGTAAAATATGAATATACAATCAGGAAATGTAAAACGCTATAGAGCATGTCCACAGCAGATGGATGCACTCCAAAGACTTTATTTTTAAAGACTGCTATAAAAAAAAGAAAAAAAAAATCTGCTCACGAGTGTCTAGAATTTTAAATAGTTAGGCAGCTCTTTTCAAATGATTTCTAAACTTAATGTTTTTATAGCTCTTGTTTGACTACTTAAAATGGCCAGAATAGATTGTTCAGTTGTGATTTCTACTGCATTCTCAGGTATGAGTAGATGAAAAGCTGGAGTTTTCTTTGGTTGCTTTAGAAAGATCTGATCTAGGTCAGTGGCTTCTTTGTTTTTTCTGTAGTCCAATAGACCCTTTCATGCATCTGCACAACTTAGGCTCCTCTAAAAATATGAGTTTTACTTTGCTACCACGTTACTGTTTTGGTGGTCACTGGAGTTGGGATTTCTGAAGAATAATCTGCAGTCTTCATTCAGAAGTGCCGTGCTAAGCGAGCCTTCTGGGGCATAAGTTGATGAAAGGGGTACCTGGTTTTTATGTCAGATTTTTATATTGCCTCCTTCCCTTAAATTAATCAGGACATTGATTCTGGAAGTTTGTGAAAATAGGAAGGAAGAGCTTACAGAGTTAGGCCCAGCATTTAGAGGCCAGAACACTAGTGGGACTAGTGCAAAGTCTGTCACATCCTGCACTGCACTGGGGGTGTGAAGCTGCCCCCAGCTGGCCAAGCCTGTCGGTTCCTCCGTTTTCCATCTGAGCGTTGCTGCAGTTCTCCACTTGCTAACGTTGGGGAAATCAGCTGTGTGATGAGCAGGATTCCCAAGTCATCCTCCAGAGTCAGGGTCACTCAATGTCCTGTCACTGCCCAGAGACTGTAGAGAGAACTGAAGACACCAAAGTAAATCTCAGAAAGATTATTTCTTGTCTAGATGAAAATCCCACAACAAAGGCTTAGAACAGACATGTAAATGAAATGCAAGTGCTTTTAAAGTTTGAGCAAATTTTGTAATTTCAAGGGTGATATTTTTGCAGTATTGTCTCTTCTAAGTGTCCTTTTCATACGTTTATTCATTGGCCTCCTTTAAAATAAGTCGATGAAAATTCCTGAAAWTATGTGTGTTTGTGTCCTAAGGAACAAATCGGATGGAGAAATGTTACCAGGCTGTTGGTGTTTTCCACGGATGCTGGGTTTCACTTCGCAGGAGATGGTAAACTGGGTGGAATCGTTTTACCAAATGATGGGAAATGTCATCTGGAAAATAATGTGTACACAATGAGCCACTATTATGTAAGTCTACCACCTGTCAGGGAAAATAATGTTCTGTGGTGCCTAACCGTAGAGAAATCATTAAGTCATCTAGTGTACTGTCAGAACATTACAACTTTTGAACTTTACACTTAAGTTTTATTACCATTTTGTTCACTGGCAAACTGTGGTGGCTTTGTCCCCCCCCCCTTTTTTTTTTCTTTTTTTTTTTTTAATAGAATTTCATCAGTCATTGTCATACCTAATTCTGTTCTTTTTTGGGGGGASTCAAGTGATAATTGAGGCCTTTAATTAGTCTCCTTTCAGGAACAGTTTTAAATCTGTTAGTTGTTACAAATGACTTTCACATGAGTTCTGTTAAGCTCATGCACTGTTGTTTGTTATTAATTCTGGTTTACTTTTGATTTTACGTTCCTAAGTTCAACCATGCAACTAAATGACAAAAGCATGAAACCACAGTTACTGCCATTGACTTGATTAGTCATAGCTCATGTATATTCCCCAGCTATTTGCTTTTTAAAACAAGTGATTGTCAAATAATTGAGGATCATCCCACTTCCATTTCTTGAAGCCCTCTGAAAGTTCTCAGTATTTCAGGGTATTGAAGAAGATCACTCAGTTAGAGAGCTCTTCCAGACAGGTCTTTGAAGACTACCTGAAATTTTATGATGCAAACTCTTTGATAAAAGTGTGCTTAACAACATTGCCTTTCTGCTTCATTGGTAAGTAGATAGGTGTAAGAAAACACATTCAGTAGAGTAAGTGTAAATACAGGGAGCTTTGCAAAGCTCCTGTGTTCACATACTCCTTAAATGGAGAGTATTGATCAATAAAAAAAAGGATTTGGCCTTTCTTTACGATAAACAGTGCAAAAGRTAATGGTTTTGATTGAGATAAGTTTTATGGAAAACTATTAAATGATATTTTCTGAGAACACTGAGGCTATGAATTTTACCTGGGAACTATAAATGACATGAGAATTTTAGTTTCTCCTATGGAAAAAAAAAAAAAGAGAATATAACTGCATATCTATTTATGCCTTCATATGGGTATATATGGAACATTTTCAGTGCGTATTTGTTTGCAGAGGTKGTTTTGTTTTAGAGCTTCATATTCTAACTTAAGACTTTTAACCATCAACTTATGCCATATATGGTTTTATAGATGCTTTGTCTTTATAATGTTAAAATATTTCTGGTGGCTTTCTGATGTGTGGCAAATCTGAATTGTACTTCCTTTTTTTGATAGGATTATCCCTCTATTGCTCACCTGGTACAGAAGCTTAGTGAGAACAATATTCAGACAATTTTTGCTGTTACTGAAGAGTTCCAGGCAGTTTACAAGGTAAAGCTGAATAACACTTTTCTGTTCTCTGTGCTCCCCACACCCCTTTTGTCCCCCCCAAAAACTTGTGCCTAAACTGAGCCTTAGTTACCAGGTCATCTTGTTCTCCCTGGGTTCTCTGCAGGTCCGTATAGGTAGGAGCAGCTTTGAAAGGCAGGTTTAAAGGGCTGCTTTTCCATGAGCAAAATATCCAAGGGGAATGGGGACATGGAATAAGGAGAAGCAGTTATGAAAGGCCATGTTTTGTCCTGTGTGTTCTATTTATACGCCTGATATTTCAAGTGGGCTAGACTGCTGGATGTGATTGTGAAATAGGAAATGACTGAGGAGAGGAGGTGGTTATTTTTTCCTTCTTTTATCCTGACAAGATATTTTGCTCTTTTAGTTATATTGAAACTGTAAAGTGGTGATGAAGGTTGGTTAGTTGGTTTTCCTGCCTCTTTCTCCTGCACAAGAAGCACTGCTTTTATGTAGACCTTGGAGTATACGTGGTTAACTTGTGTGAAAGTTTTAGCCTATGTTTTACCATAACATGAACGTTTGCCTTAATTGTCAGATGTAAAATGAAAATGCAGATGCAGTGAGAAAGGTTGCATATTTGCCTTTTTTCTAGTAAGGCTTTGCATGACTTATTTTTAGCAAGTTTTTAACTTGTTTTTAGCCTTATTTTTAAACAAGGCTGAAATATTGCCAATGGCTTTCATGATTTTTGAAGTAGTTAAKCCTGGCTCCACTATATATAGCATTATGTTGCCATGAGGTATTTATAGCACTGCGTGTAGCTTCTTTTGTAGAAAGATGGTAATTTTCCTTTTCTTTCTGTAAATATTGAAAGGAACTGAAAAATCTAATACCAAAATCAGCAGTAGGAACATTGTCTTCAAACTCCAGCAATGTGATTCAGCTGATCATAGATGCCTACAATGTAAGTTCAGATTTCATTCACACRGTATTTATTTTTCTTGCTTATAAATTGTTGTGAGTTTTCAGGCAGATATGCTGAAGTGGATTTTACTTTTTCTACAAAATAGGAAGTGAGTATACTAAATTATAAATATGTAGGCATTGCAGTAATGCCATATTAGAAATTCAGAATGATGCCAGGTCAGTAACATATGAGACAAATGAAAAGATCAACTTTTAAGCTAATTAAGACACAATTACAAAAGGAGTGTTACCAGCATTATCAGGAAATGTTACTTCTTTAAAACAAAAACTGTTTCCTGGGTACCTTCAGTTCATTGCCTTCCTTTTACACGGAAGAGTAAGGAATCGTTTTGTAACATCTTGTCCCAAGTGAAAATGTCTCCAACAGCCTCAGAGGCTCTTGGATGTGGCCCCAGATCTCTCTCCACATCTGTGCTGTGCCACTGGGATAGCACAGGACTCTCCTTGGGAAAACGCTTTCCCTGGCTCCACTATATATAGCATTATGTTGCCATGAGGTATTTATAGCACTGCGTGTAGCTTCTTTTGTAGAAAGATGGTAATTTTCCTTTTCTTTCCTTGGGAATACTCGGGGCTGCCTCATGTCGGCCAGTGCCCTGCTGCTCTTCCCTGTGTCACTGGGCTCGGGTGCAAAGCGAGGCCTCCGCAGGGCCGGGACTGTGTAAAGCCCAAGGGGCTCTCGTGTCTGGGCACGTTGGAGCTGCCCGGAGAGGGGCCAACTCCACAGCACTTCCCTCCGTGCAGAACCTGCCTGAAGCAGAGTCCTGGTGGGACCACGCTGAGCCCGGAGCCGGGGCTCCCGTGTTTCCCACGTGAGAGGGAGCGGCGCAGCCGGGGTGGGCAGCAGGTSCCAGAGGCTTCTCGTCCCGTGGCTCCTGTGTGTCCTGCCTTGCCCGCTGTGCGGTGGCTGCAGCAGGGCRGGATGGAGCTGCCYGGAGCTCAGGCCTGAGGGCTCCAGCCCAGGAAGCAGCAGGTGTTTCCAAGCAAGTACCCTCATTCCAAACACGGCCTCGCTTCTGCTTGTAGCAGAAGTGGTGACCTGAATTCCAGGATAGACTTGGGATTGGTGTCTGGACAGTGCACAGTCTTAACATGTCTTTCTTAGAAGAACTGCGTTCTAAGTTGGCTAATAACTAACCTTTGTTGTAGTCCCTTTCTTCAGAGGTTATCCTGGAAAACAATAAGCTACCAAAAGGAGTGACAATCAGTTATAAATCTTACTGCAAGAATGGTGTGAACGACACACAAGAAGATGGAAGAAAATGTTCTAACATTTCAATCGGAGATGAGGTAACTTGGAGTATATAGCCTTCCTCAAATAATTCAGAAGTAGATGGAAGAATAGAAGTTAAGCAACATTTCTTAGTAGTCTTACTGTGATACTCAATTAATTTTGTTTGCAGGTTAAATTTGAGATCAGCGTAACAGCTAATGAGTGTCCAACGAATGGACAAAATGAAACAATTAAAATTAAGCCACTGGGTTTCACCGAGGAGGTGGAGATTAATCTGCAGTTCGTCTGCGAATGTCAGTGTCAGAGCGAGGGAGAGGCCAACAGTCCGGCCTGCCACGAAGGAAACGGAACGTTTGAATGTGGCGCGTGCAGGTGAGGAATCAGGTGGTTTGTTTTGCAAAGGGGAAATAGGACCTTGGTTCCCTTAGTTAGCRTTTGCTTCACTTTAATACTTATGAGGGAAAAGACAAGAACTAGTGTTGCAGCTTTATTAATTTATTAATATTAGGGKTTTTTTCTCCCATTTTTTCCCTCCATTTTTTTTCTCAGTTCTGCAAGGAAACCGTAGAATTCATATTAGAATTGATGTAACTCRTGGTATTTCTGCAAGTGTTAATACTGACCTAATTTTGTCCTGCAAGTATGAAGTCTGCTGCGTGCAAGGGCACTGAAGGCTTCCTAGTTTTGAAGGGAGCTCAGACTCTGGCCAATTGCTTCACGCTGGGGAGGAGTCAACAGTTGTAAAAGAAAATGCTTTTAATTCRAATGACTCTCCCAGTCTTTTCTCTSTACTTCATTTGTAGCCTTTTGAGGCCACGTTACAATATTCCTTCTAAGTGTATATATCTTTAAATCCTTCAGAATATATGTAATTTTTGTGTACAGATACATTTGAAGTTTCCAACAAGGAATTACAATTATTTCTTCCTGTTAAAATTATTTTGCTGCCTGTTGCAGACATAGATTAGAAATATACTTCTCATTGCATATTTGAAAATTAAGTAAAATGATACTGCGTTTCTGGAAGTAACCCAGAGAAGGTAATGGAATATCTTAGAATTTTAGAAGACTTTATTTTCCAAGAAACCTACAGCAAAAAATAGAACAGTTTCTTCCTGGAAGCTCTTGAGATGAAAATGGTAAGAGCAGAATGCAATATAGTTCTTCTGTAAGAAAACTAAATCCAGGTCTTTAGAAAGCAGTATTGGTCCCTGCTCAGTGAACTGCAACTGAAATAAAAAAAATATATATATAGATCTTATTCCTCGTGCTTTAATATGGGGCTGCTTTTTAAAGAYAAAGCAAAAGATACTGACTTGAAACTTGCAGGGTTTCTAAGACTGACTTAATGTGTGTCCAGGGAAGCTGGTGGCAGAAGGTAACTGGATATTGGAAGGACTTGAGCTCCCTGCCTGCTTAGTATTCAGTAAGTTGAGGAGGAAGCCACTTCAGGCCATAAATACTGTTAAATGGCTTCGTTTTGCAGTCATGTTCYCTTGCTGACTTGCAATAGGTAAAGCAGATTTCTTATTTTTGCCTTCAGGAAGAATTGTCCCTGGTGTCCTGGTAGTTTCACACAGACATATAAGTCTTGGGGATGAGAAGAGGTTTTTGCAGCAGTAGCAGCTTCCTGAGGGGAGCAGTAGCTCTGARCAGCAACTTTGATCAGTCCCTCCTGATGATGCCAAGCACCTCTATTTATTAATATTTTAGCTTTGGTAATGAGATGTGCAGAGTCCCAAAGATACCAGCCGAATTTGCTGGTGCTCAGCGGCTCTGAATATCACCTTGTCCCACGTCTAAATGCTGCTCATAGGGTTTGTTTCTCATTGAGAGATGACAGCAGTTACAGCAATTACAGTGCACAGTCACTGTCACTTAAAAGTAATTATTGTTTAGTCATTAGAAAGGGACTAATAGTAGTTATGTGGCAGTTTAGTTAGAGGTGGTAGCACCTGGGATAAGTCATCACCACCTTCTCACCTGGGATAAGTAATCAGCRTAGGGACAACTTAGTCCCGCTGTCTCCAGCAGCTCCAAGAACTGCTAGGTAAGTTAYCGGCTGGGAATCTCCTTTGAAATCAAAATTCCTTGTGAAAACAGTCACTATTGCTCCTGTTGCCTGTGCCGTTTTTGCAGTCTTTATTTATGTATTTAAGCTTTAGCTGTGTTTACCTCTTCGCTCATGTTCTCGCCTTGCAGATGTAACGAAGGGCGTATTGGAAGACTCTGCGAATGCAGCACAGATGAAGTAAACAGTGAGGATATGGATGCGTACTGCAGGAGGGAGAACAGTACGGAAATCTGCAGCAACAACGGAGAGTGCATCTGTGGCCAGTGCGTGTGCAAGAAGAGGGAGAACACCAATGAAGTGTATTCTGGCAAATACTGCGAATGCGATAACTTCAACTGTGACCGATCCAATGGCTTGATTTGTGGAGGTGAGAAATCGCTTCAGTTCTCAGCAGCAAAACTGACCAACGCTTTACAAGCCTGTTGCTCTACCCTTCACAGTAGTGATACGTAGCTTGCAAGTATATAGCTACTTGATAACAGAAAAATGAGAATTATGACAGTTGAAAACATCTGCTTATTAGTAGAATCCCTGTTTGTGGTCATGACAATATAGTATGTTAATTCAGATTTCTTCTTCCTTGCATCACAGCTCCAAGATAGGACATAAATGAACGGGTTTATTTACTGTAATAACATAAAATTTGGTGAGGTGAATGAGGTTATAGTAGTTACAGCAGCAGAATGAGTTGTAGTGTTCTAGGGAGACAAAAGATCTTCATATTTCTGTGTTGTGAAGTTAAGTTGGTAGTGCATTTACCAGCTTTTTGGATCATGTCGTGTGTGATCACCAGCTTGTGTATGTGCAAAGCTGCTAGCAGTGTGAATATAAATTGTGAACTGAAGCTGTGCTTTGATGGCCACCACTCCCAGGGAAGGCCCATCACATCGTACTTTTATTGATCAGCCTTCCCTAATCTTGATTTTTTTAATTATTTTTTTTATTTTTATGACAGATATGCCAAAAAAAATAAAACAGTAAACAGCTGTTTTTTACTAATTCCAATAGCATGTTTAAAATTAGGCTTAATGTCACTAAAATCTCTTTATCTAATGTGCAGGGAATGGTATCTGCAAGTGCCGAGTGTGCGAGTGCTTCCCCAACTTCACCGGCAGCGCTTGCGACTGCTCCCTGGACACGCAGCCCTGTATGGCCTCCAACGGGCAGATCTGCAATGGGAGAGGAACCTGCGAGTGCGGAACCTGTAACTGCACAGACCCCAAATTCCAAGGCCCCACTTGCGAAATGTGCCAGACTTGCCTTGGTGTGTGTGCAGAGCACAAGTAAGTGCCCGTCACGCCCGGGCCGCAGCTTCCCACGAGCTCTGTCCTGGGCCTTGTGAGACTTTCCTATACACACTATTATATATACACACATATACACACAGTTCTAGAAACGAGGGTCTTGATGCCGTGCTTTATTCTGCTCTGAAATGTAGAGATGTCTTATCATACTTCAGGAAAATAGAAGCGATTGGATGAGAATTAAGAATTACAAACTAAACATTGCTAATACAGAACTTTGGTAAGTTCTGGCTACTTCCAAATTTACTGCTTGAATTCTTCCCTCTGCCCCTTTTGAATGTCACACATATAAGTTTTATTCACTCAGCTTCATCGGGGCAGGTTTCACCATTTCCCTGCTTCATGTGTTTGTTAGCACCCAGCCTTTTGGAGGGGACGTTGGTCTGGATGTGCCAGGCTGTGGTCTCCTCTTGGCCTTTGGACATCAGTGTAGCCAGGGTACATACAGCTCTGCTGCGTCGCTTGCCAGGCCAAGATTCAGCTACTTTTTTTTTTATTTATTTATTAATTGGTGTATTGCTTCAAAAATTAGACTCACAGTATGTTCTGAAACCACACTGAGAAAAGATTATTATGAAAGTTGAATCTAGACCCAATGTGGATGTGGGCTGGTAAAGCTGCATGCCAGTCTCTGGAAAGGCCGGCTTGTGGAAAGCAAGGATGTTGTGAATAGGAAAGTTTTGAAATAAGCTTTTCCTTAGCAGCGGGGGTGACTGCTGCCTTTGTGCAGCCACCTTTCAGGGCCTTTCCTTTCTGCTGTAAAAACCTGGCTCTACCTCACAGGAAGGCTCGTCACCCRGTTTGTTCTTTTGAGCCCACCAATGTCTCGGACACCTTTATTGCGTCTCCTGCTTCCGTACTGCCTGAGAGAACATCCCTATTCTGGGCAGGGAGCTGAGGAAGTTCTCATATTCTTTGCTTCAGAGATTTAGGTCTGTYTTTGAATTTTGAGGGTTTGTCAAGGAAAAAGGAATTTAGTAAAAGGGTTTGTTTTGTTTTTTTGTTAATCTTAAGGTGCATAAACATTCTGGCTTGTAAAAAAACACGTGTGTCTCTTTGTTTCCTTTTTCCCTGCCTTTTATGGCACTAGAATTTGTATTTCTTAGATTAAATGCTGCACACCCGTTGTGCACATGTTTTAAAAGCCTTGCCCTCATTTTCATTTCTGCAGGGACTGCGTTCAGTGCCGAGCCTTCGACAAGGGCGAGAAGAAGGAAACGTGTGCCCAGGAGTGCATGTACTTCAACATGACGCGGGTGGAAAGCCGGGACAAGCTGCCGCAGCCCGGGCAGCCSGACCCGCTCTCGCACTGCAAGGAGAAGGACGTCGACGACTGCTGGTTCTACTTCACCTACTCGGTCAACTCCAACGGCGAAGCCAACGTGCACGTGGTGGAGACCCCAGGTACCAACRGGACTTTGTGTGACCCCCTTCATCACTGGGGTTAAATCTGCCTGCAGTAGCAGGAAAATAGCTCTGCAAAGTGGCTCAGGTTGAGTTAGATGCCTGCAGAAGCAGTGCCTCACCAGGGCTGTGAACTGGGGGTGTCTGGAACTRAGTGGCTTTATAAACACTTGTAGGGTCTTTTTTTAATTATTTAGGGTCTTTTGTTTTTGTTCTTCTCCCCTCAAGCCTGGTAGAGTGACACAAACAGGTTTTGGTTTTGAATAAAATGAAGAGAGTCAKATCTGTATTTCGTGTTTCCACTGGGTGGACTTCTTCTTGTTTTGAATAATCTAATAATCTTTAACAAATCCTAGATAGCTAACTTCTGATACCCTTRTTTTGCCTAGGCTGGTTGCAGGCCGAAACGCCTGGACTCTTGTTTCTGGTTCACACTCTCGTGTGACCCGGCTGGGCTCAGCCCGGAGCCACAAGGAGCCTCTCTGCACCAGGAGGYGCCACCACTTGGCGCCATCCCGAGCCCCGGGAAGAGGCGGCTCCTCCTGCTGCAGCGGGGCCCTCTCTGCTCCTTGGTGCGCTGGGCTCCATGGAAGTCCTCCCTGGGACTGCAATTATTGAGGATTTCACATTGATAAAAGAATTAGTGGAGAGAACTATTGCTTTTATCTGTCAGTCACCTKAAGTTACATTTAAGTTACAAACTTTAGTTTGTAATAATTACTAAATTATTATTTTTCAACTCATATACTTCATTTATTATGAAAGTATACGATACTTTTATCCCCCCCAAAAGTTTTTTCTTTCTCCAAACTCATCAGAAATCATTTCACATAAATCATGAGAAATGTCATAAAAAGCTGTCTCACAGGAGCAGAATACTGGTTGCTGATGTGTAGAGATAATTAATAAGTACAGCTGCCTGTGGGGGAAACTCGAGCACCCTTTTTCTGTGAAGCTGTTAATATGGGATGTGAGGACTGCTCAGTTGATCTGCATTTGTAGTCTAACTAGTTTGTCCCTCCAGCACTATCATGACTTAGAGCTGTTGCTTGTTGAAAATGTAATTGCTGGTTATTTTGCTCAGAAGTAACCCAGATAAACAGCTGATAGCTGTGTGTAGACTTGATCATCAGAACATGAACTGCTCTGGTGAAACATCAGAAGGATGAAGAATAAGGGGAGGAAATGTTACAGGATGTATAAATTCCAGAACTTGAACTATTTGAGCTTTATTCATGATGTGAGAATGACGTGAAGCAGATCTCTGATGCTTCGAATACTGGCCTCAGTACAAAAGAGAGATGCAAAAGCACCTGGATTTGCAATGTCTCTGCCACTGGTAAAATCTGCTCTCCCGTGCTCGCCTCCGCAGAATGCCCCAGCGGCCCTGACATCATCCCCATCGTAGCCGGCGTGGTCGCGGGAATAGTCCTCATCGGACTTGCGCTCTTGTTGATCTGGAAGCTCCTCATGATCATTCACGACCGAAGAGAGTTCGCRAAGTTCGAAAAGGAGAAGATGAATGCCAAGTGGGACACGGTAAGAGCAAAGCTTCTCCTTGTGTAGGAGTTAGGGTCGTTAAGGATATATTAACTGCATATGTGAGATTTGGTCATTTGCCTCAGATATTTCAGATCCTTTCTCTATAGGGTAGAAGGCTGGACTACAAAAATAACATCATTTTGTGTTTAAACATGTGCCATTTGTTACCAATAGAAAAAAAACCTCCTCTTTGAGAAGTGCATCTGTGGTTAGGAAAGTGAGTAGTAACATAGGTTGGAATAAAAATCCAGGGAAAAAATGGGATTGTTGAAGACRGAGCAGCTCAGCTTTGCAGCTGCAGCACACTCTGTAACATGGTAACATAAATAGTTATATAAATATGTTTGGGATATTTCAGTAATTGGTCACGAAGATGATACGGGTTTGTTCATTTTCTCTGCCCCTTGTCAAGAGAGAATTAGCCAAGAAAAACAAGCCTGTTGGCCTCTCGGCCTACGTTGCTTTATAGGGTCTCTCCTTCCATGGGCAAATTTTAGGAATCTGTTATTACGGCTCTACAGAAATCAAAGCTCATGTACACYTCATAGAAAAGATTTATTTTTAAATTATTCTCTTAAATTTCAATTATTCTATACTTGAAAAATACTAACATCTCTCTGTACATAGAGCATGATTTTTTTTTGATGATAGTTGAGAATGTTTCTCTTTTCCTGTTGAATTACTCGACACTGACCATTTCTTTTACTTCAGCAAGAAAATCCAATATACAAGAGCCCTATTAACAATTTCAAGAATCCAAACTATGGACGTAAAGCTGGTCTCTAAGTCTCAGTTTGTATTTTCTTTCATTTTCTTCCTTTTTCCCCCTTGCATGTCACTTTTCAAACTCCCTGTGTGTCACAGTTGGTTAATCACAGTCTGAGTCATGCCCAGTTTATCGACTGCCGCTTGATCCTGGTGTTTTACAGAGTGCAGCTTGAAAATCTTCCGTGTGGTTTGACAGTAAGATGGATAACTTACTAATACCACAATTATAGTCTTAAAAACTATTCTATAGTATTTTTTAATGAACTGATATTTTTATATATATACTACATGTGTGTATAGACATCCATTCATCTCCATATATATATATATATATATGTATATATTTTATATATATGAAAAGAGGAGTAGCCCTTTAGTTCAAAGAAGATGGAAGGGGGAGGTTGTCCGTGACTGCCCCCCACCAGCAGCCCCTGTGCTTGAAGCTGATACTTGCAAAGCCACAAGCAGCTGGAGGCAGATTTCCCAGCCTATAAATGTGTTTATTAATTAGCATAACTTCGGAAACTCTCAGGGCAGCATTATGGATTTTTATTAGCTGTTTTGTCCTATTAGCCTTTTCCATCCAATGCTGGGGAATCCGGCAGTATCGCCGGTCACGGCGGGGCCTCCCCAGGATGACGATGTCCTTGACCCCTGCAGCTGTGTTGGCCTCCGCTTTGCTAGTCCCGCTTTGCTAGTCCCGCGTTGCTAGTCCCGTCTCGGCTCTGGTGGGGAGGACAAAACCTCCATCTGCACCCAGACTCCCAGACTCYAGGCTTTTGCAGGAGGCCCTGGCAGGGTAGGGTCTGTACCTGTGAAGCTCTTCTGTCTGCTGCCTCCCTGTTATTTTGGGGTTGCATTCAAAATTGGATTTTGTAAAGGAAAAATGAGTGGAAAAAGCAGGAGTTACGGGTATTTCAAGTCATTATTTGTCCTCACTGTGATTAACACTTTCAAATATTCTGTATTCTGTCAGTCAAGTATTCTGAGCTCTTGCTTAATGAAATACTCTTCCTTCCTTTTCTTTCTACCRTCACCTCACCTTCCAGTGTCTCCAAAACTGATTGCAAAAAATGTTTATTTTGCTATTTTGCTTGCCTGCCACTTTGACCACATTCCTTTCTTTTTCTTTTTTTTTTCTTTCATTTTTCCTGCTTGTTTTGGAGAAGTAGTCAAGTGTTTTTCCATCCCATCATTGCACACAGCCTGCCTGGCTAGTACTTAAATTAACACACTATATAGGTAGTTTGGCTATTGAAAATAGTAAGTCCTCTGAGAAAAACTGTTAGCAAAAGCCCTTATTTATAGGGTGTCTTTATCCAGCACTAGGCTCAGCTTACCCTGGGAGCAGCTCAGGCTTGTTGAAATAAATGCTCTTGCAAGAATGTGATTACTGATTCACTGTAGGTGTGTGGGGTTTTGTTAATGCATTTTCTAATACATTTGCATCTTGGTATCTTGTGTGTGCCCATGGCTTGTCCCTTGTATTGTGGTTCAGGTGTGCATCGTGCTTTCATTCATAAGGGCATGCAGCAAAAATGCAGTTTTCCTTAACTCTGCATGCTTAAACCAGTGTATTTCCTGCATTGAGGTAAAGCAAACGTGTATTTTAATAATAGTGCTTGCCTATGACAAGAGGTTTGGAACACCGTGCTTAATGTCCTGTTCAGAATTTAGGAGGTTGTTGCTCCCTCTACGTTCATTGCTACATGCTGGGGCTACCAGAGGCTGTCAGAGGAGGGAGGGAGTCACAGGTGAAAACAGAGGGGCATCATTGCTGTAGATCCTGCTCTACTTGAAGGGCTGTCACGTTTCTTAGAACTAAAAGAATCTTCTGAGCAGTGTCTCCCTTAGGGCAAGATGCAGCCCGTTTCAAGGGAAAGGACGGGCACTTGGGTTTTGAGCCTTTACGGGACATGGGCTGTACCTTAAATGCAGAGGGGTGCACTGCAAAGCCAGGGGCCAGCGCTGGCGCACTTGAACTGCACCTCCTGAAATGMGTCCTGGGCTCCTTGCACAAGAATGAGTTAAGGTTTGAATAAAGTCACTACTGCTGTTTTAGATCCTGTGATGAAGTCAATGAAAAGAACTTCTTGAAATAAGTGGTATAATTACTGTGTAAAGGGAAATACCAAGTAAAGGGAAATAAAMCCAAGATATTTGTGTTGGTACAAAAATGTACCTGTGAACAAGGCACCCTTTAGAGCAACACTCTAGTCTAAGTCATRACAGCAAGGCCAGATTTAGGTCTCCACTTTTAACTGTGTTAAATGTATGTGAGTGGCAGGCATTGTAGATTCTCAATAGGTCCTCCGTAGGTCCCTATAGATCCTTAGATTCTCAAGGACCACCCAGCACCTCTGTGCAGGAACAGAAGGAGAATGACAACTGCTCAATGTCCAGCCTTAATGCTGAACACGTTCTATTAAAATACTGCCAGCCTTCGTGCTCTGTGTCTAGACTAAACCTGCTGCACCGTGCGCCCTTCCCTGGGCAGCCGGGGGGAAGAGGGGCTGGGGGTGCCAGGGGGTTGTGTCCGCGGAGCCCCGGCCGCCCTCGCGGCTCCGGCTGAGCGGAGCCGGGGGGAAGCCGCGTGCGGAAGCTGCAYCCCACCGGCCAGCGGCAGCCCTTCCATCAGTGCGCTGCTTTCTTCACCTCTTTAGCTGTGTATAAATCTAATACAAATATTTTTCTTTTTTTCTAGGGTGAAAATCCTATTTACAAGAGTGCAGTGACGACCGTGGTCAATCCTAAGTATGAGGGAAAATGAGCACTGCTTGTGTAACTTCACAACACTGTATGCAGCATAGCAATTTTTGTAGTCACAGTAAGATAGATTTAGGGCAAACTGCAGTGATTTTACTAATTCATTACATATAGGTTTGTTTTCCTGTGCAGGTTTTGAAAATGTACCATATGTAATTTTTAATTTTTTTTTTTTTTTTTTGCAAATAAAAAAAATCAGTGCCAGGGTCTGACAAAAAAAGAGAAAAAACTTGAGACTGCAGCTTCGTGAGCTAAGGTCACATGGTGCCTTTTTGATATTTTTTTCCTCCTATGCTGTGAATCGAGGTCTTCTACAGGACATGGTACTGCTGTGACATGTCTGGGAGGGAGCTGGTTAAAGCAATCAGTATGAGGGCTCTGCCTAGCCCTTTAGTGTTAAAATTTTAAGCTTTACAGGGAAATCAGGGCTTGAGTTTGCAGACCTAATTAAACTCACTTAGTAGGGAGCTCATGAATAACTGGTCTTCTACTTGCTAGATGTGATTCGGTGTATAGTAAGTTGGGAAAGTTGGAAGAGAGCAGTGTAAATTGCTGAAAGGGGGGGCGCCTGCTTCACTTGCTTAATGCCAGATTACGGTCGAATGAAAGGTGTTGGGAAGAGTTTTAAGAAAGTAAAAAACAGCTTTAATAACCTCTGCCATTACGGAAACAGTTGCTGACTGGCAACTTGCTTAGTTTTCCTTTGTAAATTCAAGTCCTGGGTGGCAGTATCATGAAGTGCTTCACCAAGACATCCTCAGAACACATAAGGGCCTTATTTCATACCATGTCTGTCTTCTTTAAGAGTTCCTTGGTTTAAAGCCTGGTGCTTTGGCACCATTCTAATCTTTTAATGTATGTGGTTGCAATTCTTTGTGTAATATTTTTGTATCAACACAAGCTTTTTTTTTTCCTTTTTGACAGTCTTAGCTGTAAATTTGCCTTTACCCTGTAGCTAAGATTGCATAGTTTGTCATGTGCCATGAGTCACATTTTTTTGACATGTGCCATGTATATTTGCCTTTGACCATTCAAATTGCCTGATAGTCATATCCTTGTTTTAAGTGCCTTTTTATTTTAACAGATGTTCACTTTTTACAATGCTATTACTGAAGTTATTTATTAAATAAAAGTATCTTAAAATATGTGAGTGTCATCTCTTTCTTTTGTCCACTGATGCTGTTCCACCACCTGCCACCTACATCTGTTTAGGCAAGACAGAGCAGCCGGGTACTGACACTGTGTCGCTTGGAGAAGGTCTGAGAGAKTGGTTGGAGTGGTCGTGGTGAGTGAAGGTGGCTGCTGTAGGAAGTGCAGAGGGGGCAGGTCCCTCATTCAAACTAAATGGCAGCTTAAAGCTATAGGCATTTGTGCTAAACAAGTCATGGGATGTATTTTGATTAATCTGCCCTATTTAATAGAGAAAAGTATTAAAAGTTGTAAGAAAAGTTTGTTGAAAGTTTATGTTGACTGCTCTGAAGTCTCATCAAAAGCRTAAAACCAAGCAGCTTTATCAATACTGATGAAGGACCGAGGTGCAGAGCTGTTGCAGCACCGCAGGAATTAGCAGTACAGTCCAGGTTCTTGTACAGCCCTTGTCTACACAAACACACCTCAGCTGTGTGAGAGCGACAGAGTGGTACGTTTATTAATGCTGTACATTTACCATCACAGCTAGTCTAAACAGAATCTSTAATGTCTAGTAAGAGAAATATGAGAGAATCTTAGCAGATGTTTCACCTCCTTTTTGCTTCATGCATCTTTGAGCCCAGGGGGTAACTCTTCCCAGAAATATATAGGTCTCCCTGCAAATTAAAATATATATATAAAAAAATATAAATTTGGTGTGTACTGCAGGACTGAATACCCTTTAAAATATCTAACTATACCTCCATCTACTTCCATTGTTCGGCTACTCCAAAGAAAAATCTTAACAGCAAAAGGTTGGTGTAGCAAGTCTAGTGATACAAGAAAGACCCTTGCACTGCAAGGGATTTTTAGCATAATAATAATGCACACATACCTATGTGCCCACCAAAAGGAACACACACACACACACACACACACACACACACACACACACACACACACACACACACACAATCTTCGTCTTCAGTGTCTAGACACTACTTAGATCACTAGCTGTGTACGTGGGTAGAAGGTAAGGAATACAGAGTGAGAGTCTTTTGGTTCACTCTAAGGGACTTCTAAGTAAAGTATCTGAGCCTGAGCGAGTTGGCCATTCTTTGTCCTTTCCTTTGTCCTTTGCTCTTGTGAAACTAAAATATATATAAATAATTTTCTGATTATTTAAATGACTGATGCCAAAATATTGAAACAGAGAACCCATTTAGTCTTCTAAAGTAAAAATCAAGATGAAAATACCACTGAAAGCAGAAGTTTTTAGTAAAATGCTCAGTGTYAGTGAGACAAGACAGCCAGCATCCTGACAGCAGCTATATCCAGGATGACATCTGCCCATTGCTCTTGAACACCGTGAAGCAGCAGCAGCTGCTGCGTGTGGAGAATTCTCGAACACCAGGACAACTTGTGTCGGGTCGGTAAAGACAGTTAATTTGTTTGAACCCTCTGCAGGAACCAGCTGGAGTGAGTCAAACAYGTTGTGTGTACTTACCCATTCTCCCTCGTAAAGCGGGGAAGGTGAGTCTCCTAAAAGCAGAACCAGTCCTTCTATCAGACTTAGCATGAAAACTTACTTAAGACTTTGATATTTAACATAGTTTTATAAGATACCATTTTAAGCTACTCTAACATGCTAAAATGCATTTACATTAGCTACACAGTCTGCTATATCTTGTAATTTTACGGAATGCAAGTGGCTCAATACAGAGGTCCTATCCCAGCCCATTATCCAGTGCACACTGCCTGACTCCCAGGTGCTGCCTTTTCCTGGGATAAGGGGGGGCTTCCCGGTGTCTTTTGAACCCACCTCTTACCTCACGCTCCTCACAGGTCCCTCCCTCATTCTCTCACTTCATTCCCGATGCTCCTTTCACTGTTTTGGACACAGGGAGCTGGCAGAGCAGAAGGGCCTGGCTGGAGGGGCAGCCAAGCTCAGGGTGCRGGACCAAGCTCCCCTACCCTGGCCTAAAGGGACAGGCCAGTGGGGACAGGGCCTGCCTAGACCTCCACAGCAAAGGCAGCAGCGTGGGCAGTAAGGGAAGGAGCTAGAACACCTTCAGGTAAGTAAGAAGCTCAGCTGAAATGCTGTACTTTTTGTGACTAGAACACATGTAAAGGTGGTTTTTTTTCCAAATAATTTAGCATATATATCTGTAACAATTTCATAAAAACAAATAAGAACATTACTTTTGTTCTCAGAAACATCTGATTTTTTCGTCAGCTTTCTCTTGTGAAGTTCCATTTCTGATGGCCTCTGAAATCGCCCTTCTGTACAGAGTATGTAAAAGTAGATAATCAGAACACATTATATCGCATGTCATTAAATACTAAAAAAGTAAATTCTCATTTCCTTAGGATTAAGTTTGGTTTCACAGTCAAAAAACTCGGTTTTTAGCACCTAAAGATAAATACTGCCTTAAGAATAGGAAGACTCCCATTATTAAAAGTATATATGAAATTAAAAATCCTACGGAAATGTAAAAATCTACCTGAAACTAACGTCATCTCACATCTGTGATGCAGTTTGCCCAGGAGCAGKGAACTCAGGGTGGGAAACAGCAAGCAGCCTCCATCAGGCCACCAGCCCTCCTTCTATCAGACAAACACCAAATCCCTTCTATTTTGTCACTCTTTCACATGTAGCACCGGCCTTCTGAGTTACCTGGCACTAAGGCTGGAAGGGTAGAAAAGTCAAAATGTATTTTGGAAACAGCTCTGCTTGGCGTCACTGGAGGAAGGGGTGGTGAGGTCTCTCTCTCGTAGGTTGGCAGTGAAGGTTCTTCTGAAATGCAGGATAAAATATCAGATTTAAAAAAAAAAAAACAGGCCAAAAATAAAATAAAAAAAGTCACTCAAAATTATACCATGTCCACTAAGGGAAAAAAAAATAAAAAAAAACCAAGACAACAGCATCTCCATATTTTAAAAAAAATGCCAACAAGCAGAAGCGATGGCAGTGAGTAATTACAAGCAAGAGGACAGCAAACAATTACACAGCTTTTTTGGTTAGCTTCACACAACTTTTGTCTCATGTTGTTCATAATGCATTCAACTTAAATGTTATAATTCTAAAACCTGTAATAATCAATGTTTATTTTGCTCATTTTAAATAACATTACTAAGAATTGTGTTAAGCAAGGAAAATACTCTTGGATCTGAGGTGTAAGCAAAGTATGGAAAACAGGTGTTTTTGTGATGGGGCAATCTCTAGCAATATCTGCATTAGTTCCCAACTGTGTTTTCAGAAAAACAGCCTTGACAAGAAATTACTTTATTTAATCAGAAAGTCAATGAATGTGTACTTGAATGTTCTTCGTTACCAAGTGAGTGCTGCCCAGCACTATGACTCAGTAGCACTATCCCCATTTACAAGGGGAAAAATGCAAAAATTAAAGCATAATATTTGAAATTTTGAATGCACCAAGTGTCTTAAAAACTGATCAGTTAAGGAAATACAGACCAAATAGGCTCACTGTCCTCTCTGCTGGACCATATACACACATATATATATCAGTGCTGCAAAGGTTACCAAATACAAGATAAGAACTTACRTTTGCTTAAGTGATGAAATTGCATTTCTTCCTTTCAGAAATCGTATCAAATTCTGCATTCTGCAGAAGACTGACTACTAAGTTAGCTTTGAAGTARATCATTAGAACTGCAAGATCCTTTCTTTCATAAGATATAATAATTATTTCAATATTTGGCTTTTAAATGATAGTGCACATGTATAGCAAAGAACAAYACAGCTTAAGAAGTGGGATAACAAAGGGAGGGAGTCACAATTTCACCTCGTACACCCTTTAAGTATTCATATAAATAGTTAAGAGTAATTAGGACATAAGCATGAAACAGCACTATTGAAATGTTGACACAATAATCGTATTGAATTTAATGTTTATRGAAAATATCTAGAAAGATGGAGTTCTCGTGGCAATTGTCTATGACCAATTGCTCAACTGTCCCCTGAGGAGACGAGCTGCTAAATTGTTCCAAGTACCTTCCAGACGCACAGAAACAGGAACACTCCACATCTGGATGCTCCCGAGGCTGCTCTACAAAATACTCAAACCTGATGCAGGGAAGACAGGACAGAGACTGCCAAGTATGACATGCAGGGGCACCTTGGTCTGCGCATAAGCTGGCAATGCAGCAGGAATAGTTAAGAGCAAAACGTACTGGGAACCATTTACCACCTCTGTGCGGCAACAGAGCATGAGAGCTGGCAAGAGGAACCAGTCAGAGGTTCGCRGGCACCAGCAGACTGTGGCTACACCTACCTCCAGCTCTGAGAGCTTCTGAAACCAGGGGCTACATCACATACCTGTGCAACCTAACCCAGCATCACTGCCTTGGAGGGGCAGCTGTAAGCACCTGGGCCTCCCCCACACACCAGTTACTGCGTTAGGGCCCCCTGCTCCTCCCCAGCGCGGCTGAGCTGGGAATAGGACAGGACACGGGGACAGGGCTGTGACATGTCACAGAACGCAGGGAACGTGTAGCTGGAGAGTCACAGAAGTCACTTCAAGGATTTAAAAGGTGAATTAATGTTTAAAAAAAAAAAAAGAAATATATATATAGTGTGTGTGTTTGTGTGTGTGTCTATGTTATGTATATATAAAAGCATATACCTCCAAACCACAACAAAAAAATATACGGAAGCCCAAACCATTTATTACCTGGAACTGTCCCTTTCTTACTGATGCATTTCTCCATACTTTGAATAACCGACATAGCTGGCAGAGTTGATGGAAGATTTGGAAGCAGGATTTTTTTTTTCAGTGCTAACAATTCATCTTCTGCAAAATCAGGTTATATAATACAACTCATGGAGTGATTAACAAATAACATCTCACCAGATGACAGATTAAAAACAATGAATAGGTTTCTAACTTAGTTATACCGTCTATTTGTATACATTATCATAGCTCATCATCTAGACTGACAAACATTCTTTAGGATTCTGCTCTTTTTCTCTCTCTGTTATTCCYGTACATCTGTAGTATTGCAATATTCTCTGCTCCCTGCTCCTGTTTTATCTAAAAGATCACACTAACCAATCCTGTCCAAGACACATTACTGTCCTAGTTTTCTACAATATGAATAGAATAATTTTTGTTGAAAAAAAAAGAAGATAGAAAACAATAACTAAGTATTTTTAAAGCAGAACTCTCTACTTACCAATGCTTCTCTCTTGATTAAGTGGAAGTGCTAAAAGAGTATGTTCTGGCTGCAAAATTCTACCATTTAGAGGGTCTTTTCCAGGAGCTTCTGATTTTCTTTCAAATAAATCAGAACTGCTGCCAAAGCACCTATCTAACAGAAAGAAAATATTTACAAGCAACCTGAATACACGTGCCAGAACACTGAGTACTGGAAAGTGGCTAAAGTGAATGCTCATTAATTATAATAAATACATCAGCGCTGGGAATTATCTCATTAGAAAGAATAAATTACAACTTAAAAAAACTGTAGGGAGGAATTTTAAGTAGGAATATCTGGGTTAAATATTAAACACATATATTAAAACACAAGATTTTTTAAAAAGACAGATTAAGAATGGAAGTTTTGTACAGATAAATCTTTTAACATCTTTTAAAATTCTGAGGCTTCAAAAAAGAGTCTCAAATATTCTGTCAATAAAGAAGGATCAAAAATATAAAACAATCTCATTATTTTGATCCACAACAGAAGTTTGAAAGTATTATACTGGAAGTTCTCTGCTAAGTTCTCAAGTACCCACCAAGGGACAGCCTTTTAAATTTGTCTATTTTTAGGATTCTGTGCCTAATTTTACACAGGTGATTAGGACTGCCACAACAGAAAACCACACATGCTTAACATTTTCATCTCATTCTTAAGTGACTTAAAGACCACCTATTCATGGTCTTGCACTGCAAACCATTGAATTTTCTTTTAGAGAACAGAGAATTTTCTTTGCTATTTGAAAATTTCAGAATATATCCTCTCATGAGAATATTGATTATCAACTAAGGACATCTTATTGTGAAAAATAAACCAAACCTGCAGGATGTGTGGAAAGTAACGTACGTTTAGTAGTACCAGTGACCACTGCCTGCTTCTGTCTTTTGCTCTGTGCTTACTGAGAACATGAAACACAAGGAGGAGGACAGAGCTAAGAGAGGGCATTTCTGGCAGCATATTATATAGTGGTTGTATAGGAGGGTTTAGGAAAAGAATGAGAGTTTCAGAGTCAGGGAAGAAGGTGAAACACACAGGGGAACATGTGAGGTTTGGAAGCAGTGCATAAAAGGGTAGAGGGAGAGAGGTAGAGAGGGAGAAAGAGTTGGAGCAATGGCAGAAGTAGAGGCAAATCTGGCTGTTTCCAAGTGAACCCCCACATTCACGTATCTACCTGTTTGCTTTCAAGCCACTTCTACGGAGTTACTTTGCACTTACCAGGGAATCTGTCTGCGATTAAATGGCTTATTACCACATTCTCAACTTGCTGCAGGCTCTTTAGATTCTCTTCTATTTCAGCAACCAAAGTCTCTCTTTCCTTGACAAGTTCCTTTACTTTGTTTCCTACTGGAGAAGGGTGATTTTGATGCATTTATTTGAGAAAATAATTTACAGAATATCTTTCTAGAATGAAAGTCCAGATCCAGAACATGAAAGCAGAATGCTTATATTTCTCTCTCCCAAAAGACTACTATGATAATACAAACATTTCATCAGATAAACTATTTTTTAAGCATTTTGAAACAAGCACTGGAAAAGTATGATTTTTAAACACTATTATCTTATTTACATGTTATATTAGCACAGTGCAAAGGTAAATAACAAATGAAAATACAAATATGTATCTGAAGTGTCATAGTTTCTCTCTGAAGTATTTCCTAACAAAAGCACAGCCCTAAAATAAGTAATGATATAGTCATACCTTTTTCTTCCTGAGTAAAGAGTACAGAATTAGGATCACTTCAGAGTCTCATAAAAAGAAGATCCATAAGAAACTCAGGTCAAATTTATCCATGCTCTTCATGAAGTGCTAGCAGTCTAAGTAGTAAGATGGGAAGAAGGGTAAAATGCCTTTCTTTTATTAAATGTGGATACTGACTGCACTTAATGGGTGTATTAGCAGCTCTGTGGATGAGTAACAGCAGACAGGGCATTTTAATTGCAGGACTGAAAAAAAATCTACTGCAGTAATGTTCAATTTCAAAATGGGAAACCTTAAAAAAAAATAAAGGGCTAGAAGGATGACAGCAGCTAAAAGGTTAACATGCTTGGAGGGAACATCAAAATATTCTTGAGCATCTCATAACCTGTAAAGAAAGATGTTAGAAAGATCAGAGATAGAAAAAGCACTGCTTRAACAGTCAGAAAAATAAGATAATCAAAATAAGAGGACATCTTTGAAAAAYTTGAAGTCAAAGGTAAATCTAGAAAATGGAAATGAACAGAGAGTTATATGCTAGATTATGAAAAAAGTATTTGGTGAATAATTCACAGAAGGGATAAAAATAACAAACATACTGGAACAAAATATAAGAAAGAGACTAAGAAATAAGAGAATATGTAACTTCACTCTCTGCCTCTATATTCACTAAGGAGGAGCTTCAGGAGGTTGTCAACTTAAAATCTCCCATCACGGGTACGTATCAGAGAAATCATTCAAAATGAAACATCAACAGAAAATACTTCAGATATAATCAACAAAGGAATAGCAGAAAACTGCCAGGAGTCARTGATAAGTATTGGAGACAGCTACAGCAAGTTGGAGATGAACATCAGATCTCTGAACCAAGAGAAGGGAACACAGCTAACAGTCTCAGTTTCTGGGAGGTTTAAAAGGATTTTCTTGAAGGCTCTACAAAAGTTACAGAAGAATTAGCCAGATGATTTTGCTGTTAGTTGGTATAATTGGTAAAAATGATAAGATCTAGTGGATCTTCCCCTATAAGTAAGGGTAAGAGTCAGCATGGGCAAAGTCCCACAGGTCKTCTGGATTTCTTGAGGGAGACAGCAAACATGTATGAAATGTTCTCTCTTTATTTACWTAGATTTGCAAAGGTTTTCAGCAACACCTTTTATTAAAGTTAAAAAAGGACTGCAGCATCTATCTTATGAGGAAAGACTAAGCAAGCTGGGCCTGTTTAGCCTGGAAAAGAGAAAGTTGAAAGGAGATTTGATCAACTTGTGTAAGTACCTGAGGGGAAGATGTAGGGAGGATGGGGTCAAACTCTYCTCAAYGGTGCCAGTGACAGGAAAAGGGCGAATGGGTGCAAGTTGAAACACAGGAACTTCCATCTCCAGGCGAGGAAGAACATTTTCCTGGGAAGGTGACAGAGCCCTGGAACAGGCTGCCCAKAGAGGTTGTGGAGCCTCCTTCTCTGGAAGTCTTCCAAACCCACCTGGATGCCACCCTGTGCCCCGTGCTCTGGGTGTCCCTGCTGGAACAGGGGGGTTGGACTAGATGATCTCTAGAGGTCCCTTCCGACCTCAACCATGATGTAATTCTGTGATGAGGAAGGTCCTCAAATGAATAAATAAATGGAGGAAGACAAGAAACAATCATAGGAACTGGACTAATTCTCAGTTTTCTCGTTTGAGAGGGGTCATGCATAGAGTCCTAGCAGGAGTCTACAGTAGCACTCTACTGTTCAACAGTGCAAGTGCTCTGAAAAGGGCTGACAATAATGTTGACAATCAGGCTGTTCAAGTAAATGTTCAGGGACTACATGAGAAGGCAGATAAATTTAATATTCATAAATGAAAGCCAAGTGAAATGAACAAATCAGTCACAGCTGTACAAAGTAAATGGGGATCTCTCAACTACTGCTGCCTGCTCAGGAAGGAAAGCTCTGAGTCAGCTTAATGCTCAGCACCAGTCAATAAAACATACAGAATACTAGGAATAACTGCAAAGAAAGTAGAGAACAAAACCACGGCCATATATTTCAAACATCACTTTGGTCCCAAGATGTCTTAGAAAATATGCAATATAATTAGAAAAGACAAAACAACAACAAMAAAACTTTGTCCTGAATGTAGTTAGATAGGAAAAAAAAGAAAGAAAAACTTTAACATACTGTGCTTACAGAAGATCTAAATTTATTTAACATATGGTTAAAAGAAACAGACAAATTCTTGGTAGAAAGAATTAATCACTCAATATTAACTACAGAATGTAGCAACTGTGATACAGATAGAAACTCGATAATGTTGTGAGRAGAATTGTTTACTGTTCTCTACACATCTGCTTTGGAACACAGGGGGCAACAGGACACTGGGCCATACAGAGCTTTAAGGTGACCCAGGATAGMGAGGGGTTGATGCTCTCTAACACTCACCATCCGTGACAGGAGGTTGGCTGGGAGCCAGGTTCAGAGTCTGTTGCAGATCCTTCCAATTYGATGCCAGGCTGGTAAGTAAAAGTTTTCTTTTTCCTGTTAGGTCCTGCAGTTTTTCCTCTGTCATAAAGAAACGCTTAGCATCAATAACTGGAAGTAAAGTAGACTTTCTGTTTTCAAATATGATTCAAAAGAGATAACAGACTCAGTATGTTTTACTGGCCTGCTTCTTTGTGTCACACTAATCTGTCCATTGAAACCTCATATTGTCTGGAACTGATGCAATGAATTCTATTAGAAGGTCTCCACTGATAAAAAGATAAAACATTTTTTTCCACAAATCTCTCAAACAGCARTAGGAAAAGACTGCTCATCACACTTTTCTGGGAGCTACTGCAAAAGCAGAGAAGCCTGACATAAACTGCTGAAAGAGTCAGAGACTTTAGTGCAGTCTAAGGCAACGCTTGCCCTTAGTGGTATGTGACTAGGGAGATACCAGCAATCACCACTTTCAGATTCTCTTCTTTCTCTTGAAGAACGAACTCTTATACCAATAGAAAAAAAAATCTAGTTCATTTGTATGGGCCTTTCTAAACCAGCTAAAACATAAGTATCCAAATTCATCTTCATTTCTTTATGTGGTGTATTCAGGCAGGGTCTGACCTTTGCAATGAAGTCTCCAGCATCACACCACTGCTCATCAGCTTTTACTGAAATAATTATTTGAACTAGAAAATTAAAATGAGTCACAAAGCTTGTAGAAAAAAAGCCTCATCTTCCTTTCTGTTCCTTCTCAGGTTTTTTTTTTTCTGATTTTAACTTCACGGCCATTAAGACCTTTTCTTCCCTTAAGATTTCTCCCCTTCCAGAAGRCATCACGCTGGTTCTTGCATGAATGATTTAATATTTGACTGCATAAGAGAGCAAAGCTGTAGAAAAAGGTAGGTTTTTACTGGTTCACATAAATTCAATGAGTAAAGTAAGCAGAAAGGAGACGATGACAAACAAGTGAAAGGAGCACAGTCAGACAAGCCTCCCATCTGTAAGAATCTCCCGGACAGTCAATAGGGAGTAAGCAAAACTCTGTATTCATATGATATTAAATCTGCACTCACCACAAAATCTGTATGTGTCTCTTTGGTCTATTACAACACTCTCTGTTTGTTTCAAGTCTTGTGAAGTTTCTTCCAGACTTGACAAGAAACTCTTCTTCTGGTTCATTAATTCTTTCAATCTGTCCTCTATTATAGAGAAGCATTAGTAAACAAAATATATTTATACTTTGCCAGAAAAGGCTTTAACATAACTTCTTTAACACCTTTAAATACATTTGTTCCATATCTCCAGTTGAGCATTCAGGATTTAAACATTTCCTCCAATATAACGGTAATTAAAAAAAAAAGATCTGTGCACATGCTTGCATATGTGTGTGATTATTTCATCACTGCATGAAAAACTTATCAGATGGCTCCATGACTGTTTTTGAGAGGTCTCACAAAAGACACCTTTCTGTAAGTGCGTTCTTGCTGACTCAGCAGGTGATAGTGGTCTGTTCTTTTTGTTATCTTTAATAATACTTTAATAAAACTGTCATGACATGACAGTATCAAAGATTAGATTAAAATGAATGATTTGCTGACAGTCGACCCAGCTGTGTCATAGACTGAGTCTATGCGGGCAAGAAATGCAGCATAATAAAAGCAGCAATGTAAGGCCTAGATGGCTATATGGCCTGGGTGTCCTCTCTACATATGCTTCATGCGTTTAACTCAGATAAATTCAAATCCAAGCCCGTGGCTTAAAGGTCTATGACCAGTTGGAATACATTAGATGCACTCCTGCAACACGTCTTTTAGCTTAGTTTCTTCTGGAAAGAATTAAGTTTACACTCCGAGATCACTGGATGATGTGACCAAGGSACAGTAAACTGGGGATGACTGGAACAACACGCTCCTGATCGGAATTGCAATGCAAACATAACTATGTTTCCTATGAGCAACAGGGAGCTGATTAGGCCAAGCCAATCCAGGCATCATCAGACCCCAAACTGCAATGAGAGGTGCATATAATCCTAGTAATTCTACATCTATCAAGAAACATCACTGACCCTGCACATGTATCATGGTATCTTCACATAAACAACCACACAACTTTGTTTATTCTAGGCAGGCAAAATGAGATAGAATAGGAAGCAGCTGCTTGTTGCCTCCTAGAAAATCAGTATTACCCGGTAAGACAGTTAACTGCAGTTAGTACAGAAATATTTGAGTATTCTCCTTGCCTTTTTTTTTCCCCCCCCTTCTCTCTCCTTGGCTTACTGTGAGCCTTTGATTGCTCCAACATGTGTAGATCTGGCTTCAGCAACATCATTAAGTTCCTTCTTTAACTCACTTAGTACATAAACTTTACTTTCTTCACAAATAGAAAATATTTAATTGCTCTCTTTAATAGGCAATGCAGAAAAATACAAGCAAACTGATTTTTCTTATATTCAAATTACGTTATATACACTTTGGCAAAAAAGAAAAAGTCTGAAAGTTCAGTTAATTCAGAAAGCTCAGTCAATTAACTGACTCCCCAGAAACTCCCTTGGTCTCTCAGATAAAGACATTCCATATAGCTTATCCAAGGCTTAGTGTATCTTCCTAAGTGTAAAAATAAATCCATTCTTATTTTTGCTTTTGTTTTAATGATACTATAGCAAGGCAAACAGTGAACCTGGCAATGCAATAAATTGTGACTAAATAATACTGCATCTGGAGAAGCTTATTAATAAAGAGGTTCYCTGCATTTAAAATAATTTTTTTCAATTTTATTTTCAATTAAATGATATGTACCTGTAATCAATTATAATAAAAACCTGTTACCAGTATCATTTGTAACTTCACACCCAAGTGAGAAAAGATATTGCATTTTCATACAGTTTAYTATAGAAGATATTTAAAGAAACAATTCCAGAAGTTATTTTAGATTAATTGATCTTTAATATTACAAAAGCTGCTTCTCTCATTCCATTACTAAACTCCTTGGCAGAAAGATCAATTTCTAACTAGCTGAGCAGGAAGTCCTCAGAAATTTATCCAGAAATGTAGCAGAAATGTAACTCTATCCTCACCGTTCATGTTCTCTGGTGGGATAACTGTATCAGCCTCTACCATTTGCAGGTCTCTCAGAGTTGGTTCCAAACTTGACAGAAGAAGTCTTCTTGTTTGTGGGATGTCATACGCTTGCTCTTCTATGCAAATGAAAGTATTTGATAATCAATCACACAGAGAAATGTTAATTCCTATTTTCAAAATGCACGAGAACTTTCTTATTTTCTTATCCTTTCTTGATTAAACAGTTGTCATGAGAAACTTCTGATTTCTTTTGTCTATTTTTTAATTTTGCCTTAGTACTTGTATCGTAGTATTTCTGTTTTGTTTCACTTCTATTTTCTCTGTTTGCTATGTCATTCTACAGAATTTCCCTTACCAACACAAAGGCCAGATTATCTGGAATATCTTCATCTACCAAAGACTGCTACCCTAAACACTCTCTATTTTATCCGTTTTGTTTTTATTCTTAGTGTACTGAACTTTGAGTGGTCTCTTATCTTTTCCTGGGCTTCTCCTTCTTTGTAACTCTTCTTTTATAGCCGCAGATTTGTTTTTCCCTATTATCCCACAATTTCCTAGTTATTCCTCTTTAGCTCTCTGCCAATTTCTACACCTTTTACTTATGAAGAGCAAAAGCAGGAGCTCTGCAAAATATTAAGCCAGAGAATCACCCTCCTTGCTTAACAGCAGTAAAAATCAAAAGTTTTACTCAAAAGTAAAACTTCAGAGATGTTGGCCATGAGGAATGGGTTAGTGCATATGGTGCACTGACAGCTCTTAAGGAGCAAGCAGCTCAAGAGGAGGAGGAATCACTTGCAAGTCGAGTAATTTTTTACAGCAGTGATTTTTGACATTTAAATATTATCTTGCTAGGTAGGCCTGTAGCAGTTCAGAGAGCTTTAGAAGCCTACGAGCAGGTACAGGCAGTTCTGCTTCAGGCAAGGTTTTCTCTGAACTTCACTGATTCTAGTTGAGGTATCTAGTTCAAATAAAGGCATCTACACACTCTCAGACCAAACAAACCATGGGGTACTGCCAACCAGAGCAGCAGTATCGGTGAATGTAGTTATTAGTGTCATTAGCGTGTCTTTTTGAAGCTTTGAAGGATGTGTCATTCAAGAAAGACCAGTTATTGACCTTGAGAATCTGTAAGTACTTGAGAACATGTTGACAGCAGGAATAGCTTGCTCATAATTGGTTGTGTATTGCTACATTCTCAGTAAATTCTTGGATCCTCATAGTATGCGAGTAAAAAATTTGTACTAATTTTCAGTACAAAATCCATAAAAACCTACCCTAGGACATCCTACCAAAGTTATATCCACATATAGATAAAATATATTCTCACCATCAGATCCACATATGTCTAGATCTGCTATGAAAGCCTCCACTTGCTGCAGGTCTTTCACTTTTGTTTCCAGACTTGCAGCTAAAATCCTTTTGAGTTCATATCCATGACTTTCTATAGAAAAAGGATGATTTTAACTCACCGAGCAGAACATATTATGTACTTTAAAGTTTTACAGGTTCTTGTAACATAAGAATTTAAACTATAGTATTTACTGCAGAAAGTTGCCTTTGTGTTCTCATAGCAAATATGTTATACTAGATATTATACACAGCAACTACTCAAAATATTTCTAAATGATTTTAAAACATTTAAATTGAAAAATTACACCATCCTGCAAACTCCCATGGACTCTCATGCATGAAATAATGCATATATACTAAAACTCTGTACAGCTTAAGAAATGTCACCAAATAATGCCTATCTGATGAAACATTGCTCTCAAATCCTTAACCTTTTTACACAGACCTCAAGAACTCCAAACATTAAAAATGGCTAAAATCATTTCTCCACAAAGATTCCTAGTAAGACAGTGCCAATGATTCTACTATATGGCCATACAAAAACTGTTACTGAATAAATATTTTGGTACTGGATTTTAGGTTTGTACTTACCACTCTCCTTGCTTGGCTTGTCATCCGTCACGGCCAGTGCTTCCTGCAGGTCTTTCAGATTTGACTCCAAACTTTCAAGAAGTGTTGAGGGCTTATTTGATCTATCCTCTGCAGTAAGTCCAAAATATCAACCATTAGGTGGAAAATTACATTCCTATATTTCTTTTAAACTATATCCTATTCAATGGGCCTTGGATGCAAAGCTTTAGCATTAAAAATAAATGATGTAACAAACTATTAGCCTATATCACCCTATATACACTGCAGGCAGGTCTCTGACTGACCATGACTGAACATCACTAATCCTGACCTGCTGGTCTGATTTCCTGGCTTGATCCTGGACTTACCCTGTCATTATCATTTTGCCTGTCCATCCCCGAACTGATGATTGACCCTGGCTGCTCTCACTAGACCCACTCACTTGACTTCCAGTCCTGTCTCATTACTTCTCATTTACCTTGCGATCTGAACTGTTAACTGACCATGATCATCACCAGAGCCACTGGGCTGGCCCTGCTCATCAGCTGCAGGGTCGTGCCCTTGTCAGCGAGGCCACTGCTCCTGCTTGCTCTGCTGCCTTTCCTTTGTGGGGCAGCCCACTCCTGCTGCTTGGCACATAATCTTGCTGCTTTTCATCTGCCATCTTCGCTTTCACCCTCTTCCTATTTTTGGTGACATCCATCATTCTTGCCTTCCTGGCACTTTACATCTATTATACTTTGAAGGGTCTGTTTTTCTGCTGCAGAACAACCCAGGTAGTTCTTTTAGCTCATTTTTGATCAATATTTTTACCTTCTCCCCACTCTCATTTTCCTATTCTCTCCTCAAGGCTGTGCCTTTGTGTCTTTGGCTCATCTTCCATTAAGTTCTGTCTCTAAGCAATTTTATCAACTGACACATTTTCAGTTTTCATTTCCATGCTAATGACTAACMAATCAAGCTCAGCACCATTAATTGCTCCTCTTGTAAAATTCTCCATCTGTCCTTCTCTCATTTCAAGGCTTTATTAGCTTAAACTAAACTTGCAAAGATAGCTAGTATTTTTTTTCCACCCAGAAAAACCTCTCTGAATTTCTCCATTTCACTTCTAACTTTCCTGATACAATCTCAAGATAATTATTGTTTTCTTTCAGTGTTAAAAAACAAAAGAAAGCCACAAACAAACAAAACCCTTGGGATTCTGTTTTCTTTTTTTCCAATCTTTTTTCTTCCATTTATCCATCTCCAAAGTGTAACCTCCACTCAACATCATCCTCCTGCTCACCCAAATGCAGAAGTTGCCTCCTTCCAGCCCTTATAAAACCCAATCTTTTTCTTTGTTCATGTAACACCTGCCTCAACACGCTCCCATCTAAATTCTTCCACCAGTTTCCAAGTGTCTTTTATATCAAATGTAAAGTTTCCAGTATTGCTTTTGTCTATATAAAATAAAAATCTACACCTTATTAAAAATAATAMTACTACATAGAACACACACACTATTCTTCCTATTCTTCCATATAGGTAAACAGTTATATATTCTCTCATTAAACTTTACAGTGATTTACATTCTGGACATTTTGTCAGTATTCCCTTCTTGTTTAATTTCAAAGTCTGTCAACTCTATAGCAGATAATTTAAAAACTTTTAGCCTACTTAAGATCTTCCTTAAATGATTCTGCTATTCATGATGTCTCTAGGAATTCGCACTGATCTGCTTTTTAAAAAAYCTTTACACTTGAAGTTGGTACAGTAGTAACACTTCTTAGATAAGGGCATAAGAAATGTTATAGTAAAATAAACAAGTAGGTAAACAGAGAGACACACAGATCTCTACATTATTCTGTACTTACCAGCAACGCTATCTATTCTGCTGTCTTCAAAACCTTCTGTGTCTTGCAGACTTTCTACCCCTGGTGACAGCTTTGCCAACATGCTGTGCAAAAGCTCCGACGTTTTCTTCCCTAGATAAAGATACAACTTTGTCAGAAAGACGTTCAATAGACAAAACTTCTAGACAGTTTCTAATGGGTTTCACCTAGAAACTGAATCAGAGAGCAAATATAAACTTTCTATAAATCTAAAAACCAGCTCTTATCATATTTTTTCTACAGGAAAGTCCTATACAACTCAGTGAAAAAAAGGAATAATAGACTGAAACATGTATTTTTTTTTCATTTATCCACCATCAGCATATGTAAAGTGGGATAATCTTATAAAGCCAATACTCCAAAAAAGGTTAAAAAAAAAATTGCCTATTTTATCCATATCATGTCCTGAAGAGCATGGTTGTAATTACAGAGATGTAGCTAAGAGCATTTGTAGCTTCCCAGCACAAGCAATCATTGCCCCCTGCCCTCTCACAGCTCAAGTGAGATCTCGAGTACTCTTTTGTGCAGCTAACAGTATTTGAAATGACTCTCTGGACACTCTACATCTCTGAATTGCTGTTAGGTAATMAACATTCCAAGCAGTTTCATGCAGCAATACAGATGATAGATACGCAACAATCCAGACAGGACATTTTGACCCCTTTTGAATGCACGTGTTCCACATATTTTATTCAAGTAATTAGGTTGTTCTAACAACCTATGTAGCTTCTTGCCCCAGGTGAAGATTTTAGATTTTTGCTCTACTGCATCCTTTATTATATCATCCCTATTAACCATTTTATACAGGTAAATGAGGAAACTGCACAAACTCAACACTCCTTGGGATTTTGATCAAGATTTAATAAAAATTATTAAAAACAAAGAAAAAAACCTCTCTAAGGGCAAAATATCAACACCTTCAGGATTTTTTTTTTTTTTTTTTTTTTTTTACGTTTTCGTATTAAATCCTTATATTATTAGCTTTTCACTTACCCACATTTGGGTCAGCTTCTGCCAGTGAATGTGTTGACGCTTGTTGTGTTTTAACCACTTGAGTTATTAATGGGAGTCTTTCTGCATTTGAAAAAAAAGTTTGTAGAAGTAGTTTGTTGAAAGAATGTAACAAAAGCAAAAAGTTATTTAATGAATCCGTAGTTTATTATCCAGGGTAGAGAAATAGAGCAACACATTTTACTTTAAAACTATATTCTGCATTTAATAGTATGATCTTTTTGGAGTATAGCGGTTTGCCTATAAATGCATAATATATTATAGCCTTGATTATCTTTCATATTAACTCACTGCCTACTCTCCTGTTAATGAAGATTTGAAACAGCTGAAGTACCATTAGTTTAAAATATCTTCAGGCTTATGATTATCCTTAGTCTGAAAATCAAAGCCACCAATAAAATGGTATTTCTGTAACTCATTTACCTAAAAATGAAGGTTTACTTACTTCGTATCTTGCAACCTATTTGCATAATGAGAGTATGTATCCAACACAATGACTAATTTGCTTTTATCAGAAAAATTACTAGCTCAGATAATTACGGTTCTTCTGTAACTTTTCGTGACAGCTCATCTAAATATTGTCCATCTACGTGGAAGGGCTGTAACAGATACAAACGCCCAAGATGCTGCTGAGTAATAGTAACATTCTTGATAGCACTAAATCATCTGTGTTTACCTGTATCTTATATATATACTCAATTCAGTTAAAAATACATTCATTGACATAAGAATGTCATTTATGTAAGTGTTTCAGAGGAAAAAAAATCTTCTCAATACACTTAAAACAGTGAAYTCAGGAAGCATCTTCCAACAATTCTGGTAATACATTCCAGCATGATTGCACTAGCTAGACATTTCCTATTTCTTTTTTCTTTTAAAACAAAAGAAAATACTTACCTTCAACATCTTCAACATCTACTACTTCTTTTTGAGACCATGGGAAAATTTTTTTCTCAAGTGAGCGAGTTTCCCAAGTTACATTCTACAAATAAAAGTAACAGCATTATGTTTTATTGCTTGCTAAGAATAAAACAAGAGGCAACTGGTAAGTAATCTTATTTTAACATACCCAAGTCCTAATTAAACAAGCTATAAATGAACAAGTTATCTTTGAGAACTTAGAAGTAATTAGCTCATCTAATAAAATGAATTCTAAACAGCTAAATGCAATCATATTTTCTGCCTTCTCTCATTTTTGTTCATTATTAAATTTGCAGAACTTTATGCAGAGATGATGATCTTTCCTTTTTTTCCTTCTGCTCTCTCAAGGCTGAAACATCACCACATGGGGAAAAGAAAAATGAATGAGATGTTGGCACTTGACAATTATAAAATCTTCCAATATCTGAAAAACTATAGAACATATGTTTTCTTTATGTGGAGGCTTAGGAGACAATATGTRTTCTGAACTGCAGGAACAGTGCCAGACCAAAGAAAGCTCCTCTCACTAGTGCTGGAGAGCAGGGGCCTTCTTGCATATTCTGATCTACAAGGGAAAACACAGATGCTGGAGTCTCCTGGTAGAATATTGTGCTTCCGTGCTGTATGGCAGTACTGTGCTACATTAAAAGCCTTTAGAGTCATCATTTCCATACGGTTAGCAAGCAGTAAGGTATTTTACTCAAAAATGTTATTGATTGTATTTTAACATGTTTACAAGACAATCTTAAAGATTACAGTTTCAATTTTTTTTTTTATGTCATTCCCTCTTGGAATTCTTGTTAATTGTTTTTAATCAAAAATGTTGCAACATAAGTATGACACATTGTAACCCTCAAGCACATCCCAATATATTCCCAACTCTATTTTTCTCATGCAGAAATATTGGGATGATCCGTTTTGATCAAGTCATCTTCTYATGCACGCGATCCCAGAAGTCTAACATGCCCTGTCCACTTCTGAACGCAACCTATAAGACCCAGGAGCCCATGGATAATTTTGGAAAGATATTGAAAAGTTTCACTTCTTTGATCTAGACTTTGTTTCCTTATATTCATATTGTCATCATCAAAACAATGAAAGATATCAGAAGTGAAACATTTTACAAAACTAATAAAAAAAAAGAAAAACGTAGGTCAGTTAAGAAAAGGGAATTCCTTCTACAGCAATCAGTTTCACTATGACTGAACCTCTACAGTTCAGATTGCAAATAACATTTTCCTATAAAATGAAGCTACATTAAGTGTCAATTTCTCACATAGGGAGAGCACTGACACAGCAATACTGTAGTGATAAAAAATTAATTTCACCTGCATGGCCAACTAGAGCAATAAACTATCCTTCTCACTTGCTTCAGCTTCTTCACAAATGTATCACTACCCTAAGCTCATAAAATAGACTTGAGGCTTAAATCAGACAAAATGTACATGTAAACATTATATTACATTATATTATATTATATTACATTATATTACATTATATTATATCATATCATATCTGTAGTGACCAATACATTCATAAATAAATACTGCAGAATGTTTAGTTATTTCTTCTAAAAAATCATCTTTTGTTATCTTGCGTCTGGAGTTCAATGGAACATTTGGCATGAAATTTGATTTTGAAAGTTTTGAACACACACAAAAAAAAAAAAAAAAAGAAAAGAAAACAAACAAAAAAGTGTTCTGCTCACTATGCAGAACACTTCTCATGGGACTGCAGCTCGACTAACTAACTAATACCTGCTCAATTTTTCCTGTACTGAGTTTCTGCATATGYTGTATCTTACAGTTTACTGTTTGACATATGATTTTATATTAGCCAAAGAAACAAACAAAAGAAGGAGTCTCCCAGACCATARGACCATTATTATGACAAGTGGGAAGGACGAATATCCAATCCTCTCCTCCTTCAGAAGCGCCTTCTTTCAAGGGAATCAGCAAAGCCTGCCTGAAAGCTGGGCAGAGCTTACATGACTAAAATATAAACTTATTTCTATCTGAATAGCGAGTAAAGAAATAAAACCACCCCTTGCTGCAGAAGCTACTTCCATACAGAAATGGAGACAACAATCTTATCTTTTCCTTGCATAACAGTAGAGCAGATTACAGTTCTCACTCAGGAAGAAATTCCCTTCATAAACTTAAAGCTTTGCTCCCAAGGAGGATTATGTCACTTTTGCACTGTAGGATGCTCAGAATAATGATTCTCCAGGTCCTCCTACTAATGCTGGCTTTTCTTCACAGTGGTATTAAATGGTGCAGACTTAAAGATCCACACATATAAATATCTAAAATACCAAAGTCCAAAGAAGTCAGACAGCCAAGTTAGGAAAYGTGGTTGGAGAAGTTTCTTTCAGTTTTCTTAATGGAAATAAGCATATTTGATAGCTTTTAGTGGAGCTGTAATTGAGACATATCCAGTGGAAAAGAACACGAAAAATGGAAGACAAAGGGACAGAGAGAGGAAAAAGAACAAAACYAACCAACCAAATCTCCTCACTTTTGAATATAATGTTAACTAGGAAAAAAATGGAACTTTGAACCAAAGAAAACCCCCTTCCTGCCCTTCTGTTAATTTCCTACTCTGGAGAGATGGTTTTGTGTTTTTAATTTATTTTTGTTAATASATTTTGCATTGTATCAAAGAAATATTTAACTATCATCAGTAACTGTGAATACTACATTTTAGTTTAAGACTCAGAGCTAATGATGATCCAAATAGTTATTCWATTATTAAATCAAAAGAATATATATCTACTTATTAGTACTGGAGCTGCAAAACTTAATTTAAAAAACTCAATGGAAAGTATATAAAATTAAAACAAATAATACTTCAGTGTGCGTGACAGGAAAAACTAGCCTAGCTGCCTTTTTATCTTCTGGAGCAGTAACTGCTGGCATTTTTTCTTGGGTCTTCAAAGGGGGTATCTTCTCAACAGGGAAAAGAGAAGCTTCCTCGGCATCCCAAGATTCAGAAGATGTTTTACGACCGCTCAAGGAGCTTTTAAGAGGAGCCACATCTTGGTATTTGGAAGGTAAGGTTGTTGGTAACATAATGTTTTCATACAAGGGTAAAGATTCATCTTGTTCTTGAGTACTGGGTTTAGCAGACAAGGTAGTCTTCTGTCTTTCTGAGATGAGTTGAGGGGAATCTTTGTGTACATTTGAAGATTTGGACAATAATTGTTCTTGATAATTTAAGGAAAAACGTGACTCTGAGTCTCCTCGGATTTTTGGAAGGCTCACAGAATCCAAATCAGTGGTGCCACATGCATCTTGCCCCGTGCTGTAGGGTTTTAAAATAGTTAGCATTAGCTAAACGGTCAAAGAAGGCACATTCTTACTTGAGAGAAATGTATCAGCATGAAATGCGTTAGATTTTTGAGTTGCTCTGCACATAAAATTATTTTTTTTTTCCCCAGTATCACTTAAGCTTCCTTTCCTCTTACTTAGCAGCCTTTACAGCCAGGAAAGGACTGTGCCCTGCTCTTACCAGGGAAAGCATGTAAGGGACAGAAAAGCACACATGCTCTGGAGCGCGTGAGCTTCAACTCCAGTGTCCTGGAGCAACAGGACTCAGCACCAGTTTCTGCTTCAGAGATGGTCCCTAACAACTTCCTCACCATCTCTCTGCAACAAGAGTGCAGTAGAAGGCTATTCAAGTTGGAGACAAGGATTAATCCAGAAAATATAATTCCTTCTTGAGCTATATAACTAAACAAGCTTCTAGCTCCCCTTCTTCCCTTACGGCTGTTGTCACTTCTTTGCCATTTTCATCAGACATACGTGACACCACTTCATGCCATGTAACTACCCTTGGCAGGACAGGCAGGTTCCCGTGATCAGATCATCTCAGAAAGACATTCCCAGGAGGATATAAAGGAAGGTACAAGCTATAGCAATCTTGCTACAATACTCTGTACCAATTTTTCTACACAAATGATATGATTTAATACAAAAATATTTCTAATTACACTAGAGTTTGGTTTCACCAAAGCCAGCAAGGAGAACGGGGTTAGCAGAGAGGGTTCCACAACACTTCATAGCAAATACATGGAAGAATAAAGATATTCTGAGTTCATGGGCACCTAACAGAAGCCTACAAGAAAGTACCAAAGGCTGAATATATTTTTATATATATAGGTCTCAATACGTGCAAAAAAAATCACCACATATGCACCTCTCTCTATAAAAATATCTATTAAATAACTATATACAAAGAGCTAACTATAAGTATTGTTATCTATATAGAGAGATGAAGTACTATTTTTATAGCAAAATGTTTCAAAGATGCCTATGATGCCTGAAATCTAGGTTTGCACACAGACTGCTATTTTATGAAATAAAAAAGAATATAAGTATCTGAAATCTGAAAATAATGACCACGTGACAGGGCTACATTTACTGTAGTATTTAAAGTTTCAGCAAGTGTTTATCAACTGAGCAAGGTTACAGTGGCAAACAGATGACCTTCTCTTTGTGAATAATTTTTCCCCCCACTCTAAGACTCTAAATGTTTTATGCAAATTAAAATTTCAGCATCCTTACATTGGTAATTTCAGACACAGTCAAGAAAAAAATCTGAATAATTAAAATGTTATAGTCCACAAAGTTATACTTCTCATTCTCTAAAGTACTCCTTACCTGCTATCCTGGGAAACTCCTTCATTTACTTCTGGGGTTTTCTTCGCTGTAACCAGTCCTTTGGGGCCTAATTCCAAAGACTGTAGGAAAAAAATATATACTTACATAATAGGAAAGTAACTGAAAAATYTTTTATATTAAGACATTTGGGAATTGTATTAACAGGCATTACTTCATAAAAAGAGTGAAAAAGAACAATGATACGTCACTGTGCTATTTCAGGGCCTGTGTCAGGTACATGTGAATAGAACAAAAAAAGAACTCATTGAAACAACACAATTGGTAAGACTCAGTTATTTTGATCAGCTTGGAAAGGGACAGTATCTTTAAAGTTACACTGCTAATGCAAGAGTTAATGGTTGTAGTCTTTTAGCRTATTTTGTCCACAGCAAGGAATGAAGCACAGTCCCTGGACCAACTGAGACAAACCAGTTTAAGGCAGGGATCTCATGGAGCACAGTGACTGTATTTCCACTTCCTCAGAAAGAGGGCACTGCCCTCACACACCCCTAGATGTGCACCATGTTCACCACGCATTTGCCTCGTGCACAAAAAAGACCACGGCAGTACTCTCAGTGCAAGGAGCTTACGCTTGACACATGTCCTTGGTTACTGTTCTTCACTTGTGAGTATATCCTACCTCACCATGCCTCTGTGGGCCAGACTAATCTCCCAGGGAAGAGCTAAGTCATTAATAAGTGGACAACGAGGGACATCCTGGAAGAATCAGAGCTGCTAAACCTGCAGGAACTGGAAGAGATGCTATCAGTGGCATTTCCTAGCACTCTGTGTTGCTGGCATCACTCCGAGATACAAACACGACCCTAGTCAGCTTCCTTCTGTTTACAGGAGATTTTGAGTCCCAAAAGAGTAACACCCCCTGGCCAAAACAACAGCTGCATCTCTCATATGACCTAACAGCAAGAAAAAAATGGTGCAAAGAACATTTAAAGAAAGGAAGGAAGCCTCATGAAGCTTCAAATCCTTGACTTCCATCAGTTGGCAGATTACCTGGAAAAGGCCATCATGAGCTAGTTGGTGACTTCCAAAAATCAGCAAAATGTCCAGCTCTGCATTCGTTAGCAACCAGTTAGGCTGTCTGGGAATGCCCAGTGTGAACTRAAGATAGCTGCTGAAAGACCATCTATGATTCCTACCCTCACTGAGAAGCAAGCTCACACTTCGTCTATCCTCAGGATAAAGACTGAGCCACAATTTAATTAACTGACAGGCAAGTAGGAAGATAATCAAGTATAAACAAAGATAAATAGGATGTCAAGTGTGAGACACTTGAGCTCACTTCATAAAGCTCTGCCCGGAGAATGGTGAACAAGCACGCTCAGCATAGGACCTCTTTGCCTGCTATGATTATCACAAGCATTTCAGACTCCTGCACAAGCAGTTAGGACTGTGCATCTGTAGACTAGACTAGCTTTTCCCAACAGACAGGTCTCCAAATGTAAGGAATATGCTTATTCTTGATACCCTAATTTAGAATCTTCATTCCCAAAAAGCAAACCTTTACTGTAAATGAAGTAGAGTTTTCTATCAATTCATCCTGCTTTTAAGGGGGGGAAAAAAAAAGAAGCAAAAAAAAAAATAGAAGATAAAAAAAAAGTTCTTACAGATTCAAATTTTATGCTTGCTCTGGTCGCTGTTGGCATTTGTTGGGTTTTKTCAGTTAACAGTGATGTTGTTTTCTCATCAGTCTGTTTAGAAGAATATCGTATATTTTCTTGAACAGATGGATAAGCAGGAGGAGTCGGACTCTCCTCCATGCTAGAAAGTACTTCCTTAGGTTTAAATGTCTTTCCTTGCTCCTGAAAAATGTATTTTTCTTCTAGCTTGCTTGATAAAACACCATGATCTTCAGACTTCTTTTCCTCTGTAACTCCTTTTTTTCCTAGTGTAACATCCTTCTTTTGAGGCAGTGTTGCAAATTCTTTAGTTTCCTCCATTTCTCCAGAACTTTTCCTCGTTGCTTGTTTTGCTCGATTCCTTGCTAGCAATTTGTGCACTAATTCATCAGCTTCACTAATGGACTTGGATGATGACACTGTATGATCTTCTCTGCCTTCAGATTTAGTTATTTTGGGGGCTGCTTTAGGTATATCTCTAGCATACCTTTTCGTGTCGATGTCAGAAATACCATTTTTACCCTTTTCTGCACTTTTATAACTGATACGTATATCTTGAACCATTTCTGTGTCTTGAACAGGGACAAATGCTCTTAAGTTTGTGAGCTGCTTATTAGCATCTTCAGCTTCCTATATGATAAAAATATGTGCATTAATATTGCATTACAATTTCTTCTTGTTATTTCAATATATTTAAATGTTTCCTTAAATTATTTTCAACTCAAGCATGTTCTAAAATACATTAAATTAAAAAAAAGATTTCCAAATATACACTTAAATATCTACAGCATAAGTATAGCTAAGCATCTTTTAAAATAGAAGCAATACCTAAAAAGTAGTTAAATCATTATTTAAAGCTTTTCATGCTAGAAAATGCTGAAAATATACAAGTTGAATTAAGTTTTCACAAGAAACTACTGAAAGTTTCCCCAGAGCTCAAAGCCACATTCTAGTTAAGACTTCTTTCATTCATTAAAATCTATCATCTTCCTTAAAACATAACGTGAAATTATAATATGAATCTCATCTAACTGCTATGTCTACATTTTAATTAGTCTCAAATTAACCTCGTTAATCCTTCTAATCTATAGAAATAAATGGGCATTTTGAGAATACAATGTTATCCTAGAGCTAACATCTAAAACAGTTCAGATAAAACTGTTCATTAGAAGAGCCTGATTTTCTCTGCTAGGCTCTAAAAAGAGCCTAGTAGACTAATTATCGCAGATGCAGACATCCATGTGGTAGATCATTAACGTTCAGTGCAATTAATTTCATACCAATTTGCTCTTTTCTTTGCAAGGAGACAGGGATCACAACAGTGATTTCAGTACCTTCTAGAACATCTCTTATTCATTTCTTAAAAAAAAAAAAAAAAAAAAAGGAAAAGGTCCTTTTAAAGACAATATAAAAGAAGTCCAAATCAAAAATAGGACAAATTAAAAGCAAAAACAAAGTTGTCTTCTACAACTTYGGAGTAAAGAAGTAATACTTCTCTAAAAATGTGCAGCTTTCCCACTGCCTTTTTCAAGACATATCTACCTATTGAGAAAAAACATGGGAAGAACTCTCTTTTCATTCTTGGAAGTACCTGGTGTTCTTATAACTTCGAAAGGATACGAGATTCACAGAAGACTGATCTGAACTAACGTGGCAGTTGTTAAATGAGCAAATTGTTAAATGAGCAAATGCTTTTAACATTAAGTGCATTGTACTTCATAGTGCTGGAGATGCTGAAGTGCACAGAAGAGAGCTTTTTAAAGGAAAAAACTAGTTATGTTTCTATCTAAAACAGCCATTATGAATATTCCTGACATAATGGGAACTTTAAAAATATAAAATATATATATTTATAATAATAAATAAAAACATGCTCCACAAAGCATGTTTTCTAAATCAGTACCTGTAAAGCTCTTTTCAGCTTTTCTTCAAGGATTAATTTCTCTTTTTGAAGAACATGCACGTGTTCCTGTGATGTAGGAAGACAATCCGTCAGACATTGCAATTCTTTCCTGCTTATCTTTTAAACATAAGGCACTAAKCATGATTTTTTTTCAGACTCAACAAGCATAAATTAAAAAAAAAAAGTCTGATGTGATCCTTCTCCTTCTATAAGTAAGGAATCATTCTGTAAACGTATCCATTAAACAACGTTTTGGCAAACAAATTCAGTTCAAAATAGTTAGATTAGCATTTGCAGCAATATAAGTAGATAGTTTTGTCMGATGTACTTAAGACATTTTAATTGGACTTGAACAGTTTTGCAGTTAAGTGTCAGTATCTGAACATACACTGGCACTAGCCTATACTCATCCTCTCATGAAGGTAACAGTTATGCTGCTAGACACACACAGTGATCCTGTGCTCTCAGATCTCCTAAATTACCACAGGTGATTCATAAAAACTCTCCATGTCTCAGTCCCCTTCTGTAAAATGAGAATAATGTTCTCCTATTTCACCASGATGTGGAAATATTTAATTGATATTTGTAAGGTACTCAAATACTACATAGGCCACTAAATGCACTATATTCTAGTTTAATATTACACTGTTCACAAACTGGTAAGAATGAAAAAGTATGCTGCATTCACAGATAAAAACTGCTCTGTATATACCTTACAGTGATAAACACAATTACACACTAAATTAAAAGCATATTTTAAAATACAAACAGATGTAAGGAGCGAATCCACTAGCTATGTGAACATATGTTTTTCATGGAAAGGAAGGAACTCTGAAAAGAACTTAATAGCAAGTGGAGAATCTTCAAGCTGTGCTGCTTATATAATTTAACAGCACTATAGGAGGTGTCTCAGCACAAGTCACCCACGTGATCGATCCTAGCAGGAATYCTATCTTCCCCTACTTCTCCCTTTCTGTGCTTCAGGCAGACTGTGTAACAGTAACAGTAAAGAATGCATTAAAATTTTTGGTGCGTTTCTGCCTCAGGATTCTCTTGCTTGAGCAAAGCCCTACCACATATTGTCAAAGGGCTACATAAAGGGAAGGAAGATATAGAGGGTATGAATACGCATTAACAACAGATATGAGTTTTTATAGATGCTGGCAGATAACTCTTCTCCCTCAAGTGACCGTACATGTGCTTATTAACAATACGGATGATTCAAGGGCCACCTTCAAAATATATGCAAGTTACCGGAAAGAAGGGCTCCAATTCTTAGAGTAAACCTAAGCAGAGAACCTCTACAACGACAGTTTGCTTACTCTGCAAAAGCCTCAGTTATGACTCCTAGCTAGACTTTATAGACTATAACTAGACTTTATAACTAGACTATAACTAACTATAACTAGAGCTTTGGGTACTAGAGCTAAGAAAATAAAAAAACTCCATTAGGCTGGCTCCATTTCAAAAAGGCTCTACAGAATAAGACAAATACCAGGAATTTCCTAAGCCTCCCTAGTGGYTGCGCAGATGAGAACTGCAAGAAGCCCTTTCAAATTTTCTAACATTTCCATAAATTAAAACTGCGATAGGCAGAKGCACAGAACTGGTGAGAGGACTACAAGAACACACCACAAAGTCTCCACKCAAGGGAAGATTAAACCATGAGTATCTGCAGAAACAATTTCCTATTCTTCTCGTATGTGTTCATGGTCTGTGGACTACATATTTGGATATATGGGGTTGGTAACCCTGAAGCCAGTCAGGGGCCTCCAAAACTCCACTCTTTCAAACTAGGAAATTTCATTCTCCAAGTACTAAGTACTTGGCCAGTACTAAGTCCATGGCTAAACTGCACAAGACACAGTTCCCCACCCATTTGGCAAATGCACTTCTTCGCAATGCGAGACACGTCCCATTCACTGTGCACCCCCAGCTCCTATGCTCATGAGCACTGTCCTTTTGGAGCACTACATAATCTGTGAACATCTCCACCACAGCAGCCCAGTCTACAAGGACTGTAAACACTTCAGGCTACTCAGTTCACTGGACACTGCAAACGATACAAAAGATCTCTCTAAAATAATAAGAGGCAAGTCACAGAATACATAAATGCTCAAAACATCAAGGAAATTTATCTGCTAATTTCAGTGCCCAATCTTTGCTCCTAGACAGTAACACTGCCCATCCATACCATACACCTTTTTTTTTTTTTTTGTTAATAGATAGTTTTTGGTACACACTTACCTGAGCTTTAAGTAAATCTTCTTGCATTTTCGATTTGCCACTTTCTTTTTTAGTCTGAGCAGAAGATGCTTTCTTTGATTGTCTGCAAACAATAACGCATTTTTAATGTATTTTAATTAAATTATTTGAAGTATTTTAATGTTTAAATATTGAACCTCACTAATATAAATAAAAAAGAACTTTAATAATAAAGTCTTCAGTGAGAAGAACCGTTGCTAATTCACCTGTTCTTTAAAAAGGCCAGTATTCTGCTCTGAATTATCCTATTTTCAGCCCAGCTGTATATCACTAAAATTCTATGTGCATCAGTAACCTTTGCTTCATAGCAAAGGAGTCGATCGTGGGATTGACCATTACTAGAAGAAGARCAAGGTAAAAATATTAATGGAAATTTGTGCCTTAGTAATTCTGGCCACTTAAGCCACTAACATGAGACACCAAGTGCATCTACACTACCATTTTATTTTGGACCAGACGTATTTTGAAGCTAATTTCCCTGTTCTTATAATTTACTACAGCTCACACCATGTAAATGTTTCAAAACATGGGCTTGACTTTTTGGAGAAATTTAAAGCAAAACATGAGCCCTATGAGCAAACAAAATGCACTCAAAACACTAATAATCATTTACACCATGAAACCAGACTGAGGCCAAATGAAGCCTCCAAACTGAATGGGAATCCTTTGCACAAATCATTTTGTTTCGAAGAACCAAGCCTGTAGTGTAACATTATAAACATAGGCACAGCTTTCGATTTGGCTTTAGATAGCAGCATATTGGACTTGAACAATTCCCGACCCTTACCAATTCAACAGTCAACTGTCAGAAGCAAGTCAACAGACTGTGCTTTGTAAAATTAAGATCTCCCCTTAAATAGCATGATCAGTTTTGCATGAAAAGCTTCTCTACCAAATAAACGGGATAGATGAATCATGTATTTTTATTCGTTATCACACTTTCTCACTTATAGTTAATAGAAAAAGAGGAATGAGAAGGGACAGAAGGGACTTAGGCTAGAACCGTATGATACAGGAAAAAAAAACAAAAAAGTAACAAACACGAGTTTTCTGCAACTCAATCATGTTTCACGGTCCATCAGTCTGTACAGACATGGGGTGTCTGCACATACAACTCCCTCCAAGGAAGATGTATGGAATTCTCTCATGTAGAAGTGCTATACTTTGATCTTCACAAGGAATGTGGTGGGGCAGGGAGAGGAAGAGATGGCAGCAGCCAAATGTGGAACCCAGAAACTGTGCAAAATCCAAGTCCCCAGCCAAATCAGTAAGATGWAACAAAGAAATAGTCAGAATAAAACTTTTAGAAACCTCTCAGATGCCCTAGGACAAAAGCACTTGCTTCTCCCCAAGAATTCAGGCTGATACTCAGTGCTGCATCTCCCAAGCAGAAATTCTCTGTGCCAGGATCCAGGCTCTGCCACAGAGCCATCTCTGTGCCTAAGGCACAGAGTGTTCAGGGATCCACACAGAAGGAAGTGAGATCTTCCGCGCAGCTCTGGACTGAGTGCTCATCTTCAGCAGTCTTTGACCAGACTAGGTCTTAAACAAAACTAAAAACAAAACTAAAAACAAAACTAAAAACAAAACTAAAAACAAAACTAAAAACAAAACTAAAAACAAAACTAAAAACAAAACTAAAAACAAAACTAAAAACACAAACACAAACACGGAGGTAACTCTTGAGAGAAGACAGTTCAGGATCAATTTAAACTTCTTACTGTTATTTCAGCAGCAGTCATCAACTATAGCTAAATAAGAGGACAGAAGCCTGAAATACATGAGTTTGAGCTTACGAAAGGGACTTTTCCCCTTCTGAAAGAGACACGGTGTTGTTTCATTGATTTGCTTTCTTCATATTGATTACGGTCAGATTAGGACACGTTGCTCAGATTTTGTGTTGTAACTTGACCAAGGAATTGGCTCTTACCTCTTGGACTTCCCTTTYGCAGCAGGGGTCGGGGCAGCAGCGGGGGCGGAGGCCGGGGCCACCGGGGCTGGGACAACAGCGGGGGTCGGGGCTCCTGCCTCCGGGGCTGGGGCAGCAGCGGGGACCGGGGCCACCGCTGGGGCAGCACCAGGGGCTGGGGCTGCTGCCACCAAGGCCGGGGCAGCAGCAGGGGCCCGGGCTCCCACTGCTGGGGCTGGGGTAGCAGCGGTGGCCGGGGTCTTTTTTTCACTCTCACTTTTTGTTTCCGGTTTGGCTACAAAGGCATCTTTGATTGCTGGTATTATTTCTTGTTCCTGTATATAGACATAAGAAAAAGTCTATTATTATATTTAAAAAATATCTAAAATTGCATGCAATTACATCATCACAAAATGGCAATAAAGAACAGTTTCATACTACAAATAAATTAGTAGGTCAGAAAAATGTCAGAAATAGAATATCCTGCTACTCCATTTCTCTCCTACATCTCCCAGTGAAAGACAGCTTAGCTTGTGCAATCTGAATTTCTTTTCTTGCTCTATTGACCTTTATTCAAAAATAAAAAATGCTATTCTACACTCGCTCTGCAAGGCACACTCCTTRTCTTTGGTTCCCTTCTCACTCTTGTTCCTACTCTGTTTACCTGGACAAACTCTAGTGAAAATCTCAGCATTTCTCAGTTTGCTGCAGTGCTGTGCCCTGTAATTCAGGAGTTCAGTTCTGCTCATGCTCCAGCTGCAGAACTGCCTCCCGTCTGCCAGATCATAACTATCTGTATAGAGATCAACCTGGATATTTGACATCAGTCAAGTCTTGAAGGAGTATTTGCTAAAAAGGGCCTGTGCTTAAAAAGCTTGGACCTTGCTTATTAAGTTCTTTGATGTGAACAAAAAATAAGGGCTGCATCGTCAAGGCCATAAAACAGAGCCAAATAGGCACTGCTTTGGCAGGCCACCATAGTCATGACCCTCTAACACAGGGAGCACGAGGAGCACAACCTGGTCACGTTCACTTTTTTTTTTTCTAAACATCCTGCACAGTACGTGATCTTTAACCTGAAAGTGAGTGGGAACATGTGTAGCTGAAAAATCTCTTTCCTCTTCAAAAGGTYTGCATATGTTGCAGGAAGACCTGCCCCTCATAATAGACTTTTCCAGCTCATTTGTKTTAACAGTATCATATCACAGTTGAGCTTGGAAGGGACCTTTGGAGATGACCTGGACTACCACCTGCTCAAGTGGGGTCACCTAGACCACGTTTCAGAGGTTTATATCTGTCTTATCAGGCGTAACAGGCAAGACACCCAACTCTGAAGAATACAGAAATTAATACATCCAAGCCTAACAAACCCATTCTGATTGATAGCCTATTCCATCATAAGATGACATATAACTTGCCTCTTAATTTCCTCAGGTAAGAATTATAACATTCAGAGCATTCATCAGCCATCAAAACTTCAGATGGTTTCATCTAAAAATGCCCAGTGTGTCAGAGAAAGGGTCTGCTTAACTCAATATCCTGTCTAGATAAATAGGTAAGAAAAGGGTAAGCAGGCATACATATACACACAGATCTCTGTGTGTACACTCATGCTGATACATACATACACACTAAATGTATATGTATTTCTTCCAAGTATTTTTGATTTTTTCTAGAACACACCTATTTTGATCACTCTCACACAATTATAGTATTTCAGTTTACTTACTTCTAGGCTTTCTCCTTCTTTAATTTTTTTAAGTTCATTCTCCATTATCTGTTTCTCTTCTGCTAACAACCGATAATCATTTTTTATCTTCTCGTATTTCTAAACATAGATACAGTGAGTTATTTTATGAYGAGAAACAAAGTGACTTGATTTCAGCACAAAATCTACACAAATAGATTTACAAGTATTTAAATGCTTAGCAAACTGGAAAAAAAGCAGCACGTTTTGGGAAAATTGCTGTGCTCTCTGAAACTAGGAAAAACAAAAGAAACACAGCACTTGCATGGAGAGAGTAGGCAAGCAATGAGTTCAAGGTCTTAATTCTGTCCCAGAATGGGTTTATTTCTGTCATGTTGGATTTTGAGCTCTGTTCTGTGTTTTCATGTGAATTTTTTTTGCCTTGCAATGCGTGAAAATTTCACCTCRGAGCAAGGGCAGGATTCACCTCATAGATCAGCACATATTAATGCATTAATTATAATGTAATAAATCTAAAGTCATATTTTTATTTATTACTGCATTTATAAGTTAAACTGTTAATACMGTATACTTACAGCTTCCAAGAGATCCTGTTCATTTGAAATTCTGAAAGAGAAAGGCAAAACTTTCTTCTGATTCTTTTTACATTATTTTTCATGTTGATGGAGAAAGCACTGTGAGCTAAACTATTAAAAATAGTATTTTATAAAGTACTGCATAGGTATTTACTTATGTTTTTACATTAAATATGTAACATTTCCTGGTCAAACTACTTGTGAGTTTTAACCCAGCATAACTGTCTTGAACAGCAACTTTCCAATCATTGCTTTCTGTATAAAAAGGACTTTTTCTGGGATGGGGCAACGTTAAGTATGAGAAATATTGAGAAAATCCAGGCCCTTTTGATATAAGATACTCAGAAAATGGGGAGAAAAAAAATTTCATTTTTCACATTTTCATTTTCAATTCAAAGCAACAAACAACACGTAAATATGTTTTCTTAGTCATTAAGATTGTAACTGTTTTCCTTCTGTGTTTGTAAGTCTACAGTAAGATATCTCCCTTCCTCGCCTAAAGGTAAGTTTGAATAAGTTTTCCCAAGGTGCAATTCCAAACATTCAGAAAAAAATAACTTAAATAATAATGTATAAAGTAATGCTCGAGTTCTTATTCTCTCCCACTCTCTCCTCTCTCCCCTACACCCATCCACCACCTTGAGAAGAATCTGTGGTAACYGATCTTAGAACTGGCTCCTGACTAAATGTCCTGACTGAGGACCACATCACCTGTCTAAGAGGAAATATTGCTGATGCGATCAGGATATTCTGAAACACATTCCCATTTTYATAGAATTTAAATCAATAAAGAGATGCTATTAAAATGTACTGTTGTAAAAGCAAAATGCTTAACATTTTAACAATGAGAATGCTTTAAAAAAAGTCAAACATGAATTTTTAATACCTCAACTCCACAGAAGAGAAACTTACGTTTTTTGCCATTTCTAATTTTTACAAATTTGATTAAATCTCATGTTCAGTAAAATTCCTCTGGAAACTTATATAAATTGTCATCAGTAGTCTTTGGAATCTTAAATACCAAGCCCTGCTCTTGCTTTTCAAGCTGAAAATCTAATGTGTTAAATACGCTGTTTAGCTATAATGATTTAGAGCAAACAATGCATTTCTACTACCATTCAAAGGTAACATTCATTACCTTTTAGAAAGGTCTGTTTAGAAAGAATTCTTACCGCTGCAATTTGTTTGTTTGTCTTTCAAATACTTTAACTATTTCTAATATGCGTGTATTCATTGATTCAAATGTTTCTGCAAAGAAAAGAAAGAGATTTTTGTATCCAAAGCATATATATTTTTAAAATACATATATTGAAATTTAAGTCAAATCAGATCAGAGCTGTATGTCGGAGATGACTTGCAGGAGGTGTTCTTGGTGTACTCTGATATGAGCTTGGTGAGGTTCAGAGGCAGAGGGCTCCAAAAAGATGGCAGTTCCTGAAGGCTCTCCACGGCTCTCCAGAGCTGCCAAACTGCTCCCCAGGCAGAAACTGATAGACTAGATGAGGAAAAAGTCTTCATGGAGATTCTTGACCACTACTACACGTTTCAGGTGTAAAGCAACTCTCTCCAGGTCACGCTAAGACCAGGTCACACTGGGAGAGCAAGCTATGGCAGCAGCTTCTAGCTCCCCCTATCCCAGCCTTTCTGCCCGCCCTTTTAACAAAATACACCCAGTACTGTCTGTCTAAAGTAATTCCCAGCTCTAATGGTGATGCTATCATCCCACTAGTCATCTTATGTCTATACACTTTCATCTCCTTACAAGTTGAAATCTATATATATCTTCTCATGTAATTACACTCAAAATTTGAACATTTCTGCTGTTAGTTTGTTTAGCTGAGGATATTCCTCCCCTCATTCAGATTACTTGTCTTTGCCTAAATCTAAATGCCTTCCTAGCTGCTCGCRGTCTTGAGTTGAAAGAGAATTTGGGTCATGTGACCTGTACCCTTCCAGTCTTACTGGGAGTAATAGCAGTGCCATTACTGAAAAGGTAACTTTAGCCTTTGGGCTATAAAAAAGCATGCACAGAACAAGGGCCCCAAGAAGTTTGTGCAYAGTAACATGACACATGGTATTCTGGGCTATGGTCCATGGTTTGTTGTCGACCCAAAATGATGCTGGAAAGRTATGACAACGGTCTAAACAGTTCAAGACAGACAGACAGAAAGACATAAAGCAGGGGAAGAAAAAGCACCATTCAGCAAAATGATAAAGAACAAAAGAGCATGACAGGGCAGAACTTAAATCTCTCCACGATATAAACTAGTTTGACTGATATGTGCATGTTAATAAAACGTTAGCAGATTTAGCCTTACGTGCTGGTGCCTCATCAAAGATCTGTGTCATATTAATCACATCCTCTGTTCCATGCTTCTTTACAAGATCTGAAAAAAAAAATCATTTTTATCACTGTCCATTCTGTTTTTAAAAGAAATGTGGTATTAGTTCTTCATCATTTAGAGAAAATGAAAGAAAAATTTGCATTTAATTTCCATCACTAACTCAGAAAACTAAAGATATGTTTGGTAATGCTATCCATGACAGAAAAATTGTGACCATCATGCTCTTTGGCCTTCTTGCAGAATCTGGCACTAAGCTTCTGAGTACGCTCTGCTCACTGGCTGGGACACAGCTTCAGATGCCTGACAAGAACCTCATGTTCCCAGGCCTGGTCTGCACTGGGGGCTACTGTCACCAGACTGTCCACTGGGCAGGCAACACGGGGCACAAAGAGCCCAGGAGGTTTCTGGAGTTAATTGATATCTGTAGTCAAGGGAGACTATTTTCTCCTCTCTACCCAGCACTAGTGATACCATCTCAAATTCAACTGCAGGCTTGGTGGTACAAGAGAGACATGSATATACTGGAACAAGTACAGAGAAGGGTACAGAGATGATTAAGGGCTTGGAGTATCTTACATATAAAAAGAGGCTGAGAGCGCTGAAATTCTTCAGCCTTGAGACAAGAAGTCTCAGAGGGGATCTAATCAAGGAATAAAGAATAYGGACCCAGACTAGTCTCAATGGCATCCAGTGAAAGAGCAAGAGACAAGGAACACAAATTGAAGCATGGTGGATCCCAGCTCTCTTTTAAGCTTAAAACCTCCAGAAAGTCTCCTTCTCTGGAGATCCTCAAAACCCACCCAGACACGATGTAAGTGCTCTAGTGCAACATGCTCTAGGTGTTCCTGCATATGCAGGGGAGTGGGACTAGATGATCTCCCAAGGCCCCTTCCAACATTGATCATTCTGCAGTTTTGTGATTAAGAAATAACTTTTTCACTGCAAGGGTGGTCAAACACAGGAATAAGGTGCCAAGACAGATTGCCCAGTATCCGACCTCAGAAATATTCAAAACCCAATGGGACAGGGCCTGGGTAGCTTGCTCTCATAGACCCTGCTTTGAACAGGGGGGTTTGAGACTAGGAAGTCTCCAGATACCCCTTCCAACCTCAACAATTCTGTGATTAACTTCAGATAAAAAGAAAGGTCATAAGACGTTAGTATTGGGATACAGATTTGCCTAAAAAGCATCTGCTAAAAATGCCAAAACTGGCATTATGTGGATGGCATTATGTGAAATCACTGCTACAGCTTTACCTACTTTTATGGCCAAATCTCAAGACCTCTGCATACATACTATGACTTCATATATTTTGCATTTTTTTTCAGATAACAAATATAATGAGGTGTTTCTATTGTTATTATCAACATCTTAAGTGATTACCATCACTGCCTTAAAATGTACTGCCTTTCAAAAGTTCAGAGATAACATCCTCACCTTCTAGCATAATCCTTGGATCTTTATGACTTGACACTGCAGTACTCAAATTTCTTCTCTTGTCCCTGTTAAAATGTACAGTGCTTCAAACTGAGTATTAAGGGGACAGTTATCTTACAAGGAACATGAGGAAGTTCTAGAGATAAAAGCATGAGCTGCTACACCACAAGCTAAAACCACAAGGCTCTAAGAACTCGCAGCATTTTCCATTCCCTGCTGACTCTCTGGATAATCACAATCTTTGCTCTATGTGCAGAACCTCCTAAAACTCTGTTGAAATTAATATATTGGATTTGTGCAGCTCAGACTTTCAGGGTGCTCTATTCATTCTCCCCTCTGGCATTTTAYATGTTCCCCTACCCCCACCCTTCATTGGTTCACAGGATTACAGGAAACCCATGAAACCAGTCAGAAGCTAGGAGACTTCCAATAAGCGTGGTTAACCCAACACTTCCCACACAAGAAAATGAGGCCTGAAGTTCAACTATTTTAAACACTCCTCATTCCTGCTTATCACRGTATTTTCAGTAGCCAGAAGCAGTCAGAACTTTGTTTTTACTTCAAAGAATGCATTTCAAACATTTTGATAGCCAGATCTACACACTATTCACAGCATTTAAGTATATAATTTCCACAACAATTTCTTCTCTATACATATGAATAGCATTAATTACATAATTTTGAAGAATTTTAATAGTTCTTGCTATCTCTCAGACTTTCAAAAGGCAGTTCTATCTGGATTCTTAATTTTTTCTTTCCTTCTATATTTGTACATTCTCTATTGCATAAGTTTGTTTAAATCTTTCTTTTAAATTTATGACAAATACACAGGTTTTAGATTTGGATTTAATCTAAATGTGATCTTACTGGTCTTTCTTAAACTCCTGCTTAACCAGAGAAGGGGCATATCCTGGAAGATTCTGAATACAACTCTTCAGTTTTTCAAGCTTCTGGACGCACAAAGACACTTTAGAAACGCCTTCCAATACACTTTTGTCAGCCACAGGAAGTACAGAATCTGCAGCATGGTCTTCTTCTCCCAGCTAAAATATAATCAGCAAAATATTCAACTGCTTAGGTATCTATGGCCTATTCAGTAAAGCTGCAGCATCAAATACACTTCTTCCTCATACCTATCAAAAGCATAAACTTTTCGAATACCAACATTTTATTGCAGAACTATTTAGACAACTTTCATCACCTTTCAAGGAGGAGTTGTAATTAGCAGTAAATAATTACAATTTTTCTGACCTCTCTTGTTCTGACAGAAGAACAATCAATATTTTTATTACTATAGCCAGACTTGTTGATAAAATATCATGAAAGTAACTTTAAAATTATGCAAAAAGATTAAATTTATAAATAACATTTTGCATAAAATGTTTGTATAATCTTTTCATAGAGAAATTCAACATCTTATTGTCTTCCAGTTATTACCTATGAAAACAGAGACAAAGCTAACAATTGTCATKGTTTGACTTACTTCTTCCATCAGTTGGGCTTCTTTTCCAAACCACTTTAAAAAAAAAAAAACAACAACAACAAATGTCATTATCAGGTACTGACAAATTAAGCTCCTAGTTTGAAACAGGAGCATTAAAATATTTATTTCTATATATAGCATTTTCTTAGATACCAAACAAAATCTCTTACCTTAGCTAAAGATTCTAATATCTGGCCCATAGGAGAAGTGAAGAGGAGAAAAAAAAATGTTAAGAACTTTGAATAAAACATGTCATCACATTTTTAACATTTATACTTTCTTTTTGTAATTTATTATTATTCAAAATCTTCATTTGTGTTAGAACTGATCACACATCTGTTACAATAACTAAATTCAGTGTCATTTAACTGCAAGATATGAATAGCTGGTTTTGGAAAAAAACTTTTCACATACACAAAATTCATCAAAATACCCCAACTGCTTTGCTCTAAAGGAGCAAACTGCATACTCTAAATCATATTTCAGGCAAGAGTTTAATCCACATCCTCATACACAGGCTTTTGATATCAAGTTGTGATGGTTTTTTTTTTGAAATTAATGAAAAACAAATACAGAACACAACCTTAGGGCAAAGGAAAGCTTAAGGTAATATCTAGTTAGCTGATTTAAACCAAACAAACACAGGGAAAAAAAAAATCACACTTGAGAAAATTAAAGTTGTTCTTTATCTTTAAGAGAAAGCATATTCCATCACTTACKAAAATAAGTGACTTAACAGTTCAGCAGCATGTTCCAGATTCCCAATCTGCCAATTATTATCATTACTAATCAAACCTATATTAACCTAACAATTTCCTAAACCTGCRTACTATGAGAAAGTGAAATGAATTACTCAAAAAAAAACACCTCTAAATCCAAAACCTTTCAGCACTCAGAAAGGACAAAAGGTGAAATCCATCCCTGTATAGAGCTGCGGGAAGATTTCTGAAGCTGTGAATATTAGTGTTAATTATATGTTTTGATTTCAGAATGTACTATGGTGTCACTGATAAGAACTGTCTCAGTCCCTCAACCACAGGACTGTGACCCACTACCCAAACCAAGGCAACACAGTGTGGTGTGCCAAGTGACAGGCAGGGCAACCAGATCAGGCTGGGATGCGAAGATTAAACCACTGGGGCCATATCCATGCTCCCTAGCTGACAGAAGGGTTCAATTCATGCTTATTCCACACGCTGACCTAAAAGACATGCTCCAGAGTAAAAATGGAAAGTAAATCCATGAGCAGCATGAGCAATCATGGATTTAATCAATCAATTTAATCAACCCAAACATGAATTTGATTAGGCTGTGACAAAACAGAACTGCTTCCACCTTTTTTCTTAGAATAGTAATTCCAAAAACACAAAAGGAAAAGGGTTTGAATAAGACCTAACAGAAATGCAAAGTTTATTAGGAAATATCCCTCTTTGTCTATGAAGAACAGATCTTTTCTCCTAGATCTTTTCTCCTGACCACTGAGGTCAGTGGCTTTCTGCGTTATAAAAATTCCATACAATTCTCACCGTTCCCCTAGAAAACATCTGCCTTTCTGCCCCTTCAGAAGTCTGGCTGTGCAAATAGTCCCTGCACACCTCAAATCTTTCTGTGGATGTCAACTGTCTTTATTTTGATGTGTCAGATTAAGAACAATGTTATTCTAGAAGGTACACAATAGTCAAAGATTACTGGTTTAACAGATAGTAATGGGAAAATCTTAGGCTTGCATTTTCAAGTAAKTCAGGCTAGAATAAGTAATGATCTCTTCCCTTCGCTGTGACTGTGGAAAAACATATACCAAGAGACAAAGTAGTAAATATTGTTATATTTTTAAATTAAATAACTTTGATAACTCTTATACCTCACAGGAAGCTGGATAATATAGTCAGAATGTTATTTCTGCTACAAATTTCACCTTACTAAAATACTTGACATATGAAGTCCCCAGTGCAGGACTGTGAACACTTTCCACAAGAAGAAATCTGTGGACACAATTCTTTAAATCTCATTAGAATGTAATGAAGGTAAGAAGAGTTTCACATTACATACTTCTCTTTCTTCATCAAATGATGATTCTAGCTGTGATGATATTACTGAGAAACACATCAGTGACTCAGTCATATCCTGATGAGCCTTCTGCTGTGGGAAGAAAAAAATGCATTATTTTTTTTCCTGGATAATTTAACTATACTCTTCCCAAATGTGTCTCCACACTTGTTAATTTTGTTCCCTCTCTTTGTTATTCAAAATTTCTCTGTCCCTGTCACCTCCAAGTTTGGTCCATTTCAACCAGGCCCTTCTCCTCACAAATCCTGGAGACAGCACAGATCCTAGCACCTTCAAACAATTATTTCAATTTCTTGCATTCCTGCCTAGTCCAAACTTCTGACACCATCTCCACAGCCTCCACATTCTCAAAAACCTTCATATCCTGCTACCTACCTGCACATATCATAAATCTCATGGCTACGCACAGAAACATAATAATACGTCAAACAGCATTTGGCTCATGTAGAAATAAAACTAGAAAAATAATCRCATAGGAATAAGATTTGGAAAAAAATATATATACTTTCAAAATCTTATCTTATAAATAGAGCCAACATGACAACCTCAAATGTAAAGAAAATCCAGACTTGCAATTTATGCCTCACGTCTGAGATCTTTTATCTTGTTCCTGGCTTCATCCATTCATCTTCCACACACAGATCAATGGCCAAGCCAAGTACAGAATGGCCAAGCCTAGTACAGAATCAAATTTTGGAAAAATTCCTTGATCTATCAATTATTATAAGGAGGACTGAGTATTGACTCCACCTTTGGCACAGTTTGTTATTAACAAATCCAATCTTTTTTTTTTTTTTTGCCTTTATCCAGGATAGCTATTTTTGGTCTACTTCTGCTGCTTGTTTCCAAGGATTTTAGATTTTTCTCATTAACGAACACCTTAAACTTCATGGCAGAACCCCCTAGCACATTCCTCTGAGTTACCTACATTAAAGCATGACTTCTAGTGCAAAAATCTTTTATTGTTTAGCTTGATCACTACTACCTGAAGCCACTGGTTTCTACCACTACAAACTTACATTAATTAACATATATGTTAATTACTGTATGTACTGAACCAGGAGAATCAGGAAAAAACAACTGAAACAACTTCCTGATGTCTGAATTATTAGATCCAAGGACATTAAATAWGTCAAATATGTGATTTAATATATTTTCATTATTCCATAATTAGTTGTGAAACAATATACAGACACACATATACATATATAAAGAATTTGGGGCCAGTGACAATGAATTCAACAATATTAGGAATGCAGATATAGCTCCTAGCAAGTACACATCCAGATTCAAGAATGGAACTCACAATACTGCCCTAAGTATTTAAACTTCTTAAACAGGAAATTGGGTAGAATTAGTTTTTTTTAATTTGTGATTCCCAAAAGTAAATATTTCCAAGTGCTAGAATGGCTAAATAAGCCAGTCAGACATTTCCTGTGGTGCTCTGGCATCTATTTCAGGTGGAATAAGAGGTATTTACAAAACAAATATATCACTGAAAAAACTAKACTTAGGAACCAACTATAGTTTCAGTGAAGAAGTGTTAAGGGTTAGAGCCATGCAGAACTATATCCTCATATTTAATGAATCAATTTATAGGGCACACAATTTTATTAATTATATTAGCATTTACACTTTCCTGCTACTAAAGGGCTATTAGTAATTTTCTCTTTAAAAATGTTTCTAGTTTTGTGAGCTACAAAAAGTACAATTGTCACTTAAAGTAATATTACAATTCTAATTAATGTTACAAAATCTCATTTATCAGAACATGACTCTACATACACTTGAGTCTTCTTGTGTATCTTCCTCTTTCACTTCCACATCTTTTTTATAAATATTTTCCAATGAGTTTATAATCTGCAAGAAAACATTAACTACATTAAGAGAAAAAAACTTAAACTAGGAAATCTATCTAAAAAGAGCAAATATTTTAATTGCAACTTTAAAACTGTAATTTAGCAAAACATACTACCTGGTTTAGATTTTTAGTGATATCACTTAGCATCTGTAGGTCATCCAGCACACCATCTTTATTTAAAATCTGTAAGGACTGATCTATGTAAGATTCCACTAGATTTGCTGGTTCTAAAACCATAGGTTCATCTACATTTTCTAAAAGGTGTTTTTTGCTTTTTCTCTTTGGATGACTAGAAGGTACTGAAGTCTTCTGAACAACAGATGATCCTTTCACCATTTCTACCGTAGTGCTGGATGTTATTTCCTTTCTTGATTTCCTGCTGGTGTTGGTGCTTTCCAAACCTAGAGTAAACAAGATGGATGTGGCCCTAGAAGATGAAGAACAGAAAAAGGGGGGAGGAGGGGGAAAATATAAGTAATTGAAAATTTAGATTTACTTATCTATCATTATTTATTAAAATATTATTGTGCTTAAAGGCAAATAGTTAATTTACAGTAAAAACTACCGAATGTACAGAATGATCACTGATCTAGCAATACACATAGAACTACTCTCTACTGTAGCATTTGCTGTTCTAGTAAAACTTCTAAAGCATCTACTGAACTGAAAAAGACACAATGAACAACATGTAATAACTCCTTTTAGAGGCAATTATGATAAAATTCAAACAAAACATGGACTATAAACAATCACAATGTTGTGTAATATTCATCACCAGACTCCAGAAACAGACTCTACATCACCAGACATCACCAGACTCTACAAACAGACTCCAGAAATTCTGCTGAGCCCTACAGAATTTCCTAACCTATAAAGATGCTTACATTTACATTCTTCTTTTTTTTTCTCAAATACAATAAAGACATAAATATTTCTTTAATAGGCATCATAATGGTGTGGTCTTCCATTATTCTTCTATTGACGATTAAAAAATGTTCCTTAGATTTGCCCAAAGTAAATGTGCATGTGAAGCTCAAATTAAAACATTATGAAGAAGATAAAACAGCTCTTGTTGACCTTGCAATAAAAGGATTAAAGTTCTTCTAAGAAAATTAACTGCGAATTGTGAAGACAGCTTTTTTTTTTTTTTTTTTTTTCTCTCCTACAGGGGCAATAGTAATATTATACTGAAAATAGTTGGTATCTACAGTCAGCTGCCTCTGATCCAATAGATAGATCTAACTTAAATTACAGGTGTGTCAACTACTGTCCTCCAGGTTCAAGGCATTAAGTAACTAGAATTCTCTTATTCCCCAGAAACATCAACAGGATACTGCCTGTTTCTTGTGAAGAGCACCAGTAACAGCCTTAGTTTGTTAATGTTAACCAGGACTAACAGACCTGGTTAGCACTAATGCACCACAGTGGTCCTCAGACACTGAGAATGAGTTTCAGGGAAAAAGAATATACTGCCTGGAAAGGAGAAAATCCAGGTTCTTTCAAACTCTTTTGTTCTTAGCAATTCTCAGCACCTTCTTCTTTCAGCTTAGGCTTCCCTAGGCAACACAGCATCAGTTAGTATCTTCCTTTTTGTGTCCTTCAGCATGAGGAAGGCAGACAAAATATCACTCTACTTCACCTAGATAAGATAATCACTCTCACTGTTCATTTTCTCAGTAGAATAAAAAAAAAAAAAAAAAAACTGAAAAGCCATACGCTGCTCTATTAAAGCTGTTTCTTACATACAGTTTATCTGGACAACAAATGAGCAATACAGTAAATATCTGTGAGAATAGGGTAGGATTTTAGGTTAAAAAGAAGATGACTTTAGAAAAAATCTAATTAGAAAACAGAAAATCAATTGAGCCTTCCATAATTACATTAATTGCTATACAACATATGAACATTACTATGCTTGCACAGTAATGGCTAGAAGAAAACCAGTGAGGATTAATACAATTCTGTGGTATATACAGAATTTCTCCTGCACTCCCTAGCAATCCAGAACCAGAAGTTCTGCTAAAAAACACTGTGTTCAAAAGCAACTCATGGATCTACCCTCCAACACAGATAAGGCCATCTCCCTGCTGACAGCCCCTATGAACAACTGAACTAGGCTAACTCAGTGAGGGGTATCTGCACCAGAAATGCCTGCACATMAGCCAGTCACACTAGATTTCCTTTTATTCAGTAAAAATTAAGTAAGTGGACATGAGTCAGTCTCTGCTTGCATAGACACCTACATCCAGTCCTATGAATTGCCTTTTAAAGCTCTCTATGAGATTAAGGGGGAGAAATAAATCAGGCATGTGTCCTTACAGAAAAACAATAGATCTTCAGTCTGTACTGTAAGGAAACACTCAAAAGAGATTAAATAAAAAACTAATGAATAGGCATTTCCTTAGATACATAATAAAAATGATACCACATTCTGATCTTTCCCATCACAGACCATCCAGTTTTATGATGCTGAAAAAGTTATGCCCAGCTCCCGATACAGTGTTAAATCGAATTTATACCAAGAAAATGCCAGTGGGGTGTTATTTTTAAATCACACAAAAAAAAGGAAAAACAGATAAACAAGGAAATAGATTCCTTTTAAGAATATTGTTTTTGTAGTAACAATATATCCGTAATCATTTAATATAGAAGACAAAACATGAAACATTTTGGAAGTTATTGTATAGTGTGCATAAACATATATATATAWACAGATCAAATCAGAGTAAGATTATATACTTTTACTTGTTTCTGACATGTTTCTGACATGTTCAAAAGCAAGCTTTTTCACAGCCCTAAGTAAAAAAAAAAATCTAACGCTATAACAGTAAAAAAAGGCTTCAGTAAACATGAGACCATGAGACTAGATAATGGATTTTTTTTCTATAACCAAGTCAAAAACTAGAAGCCTAAATACTTACAACAAAAAAAAAAAATCTTAAAACTTTTATTTTCTGTGACCATTTCTCAGCAGATAGTGGTTCTTTCAAACTTAAAAATAAATAAAGTCAATTTTTAAGTAAAGGAAGGCCATGGTTGAACTAACTACATCCATTTCTATCTTTCTGTAACTTGCCAAAATCCCATTTTAATGTAAATATTGAAAATGTCACAACTGAAAAGTTCAGGTTGACTCCTGTGACAAACCTGCCAAAATAATAAAAAACTACATTTCTATAATTTTAATAAAGTAGTAACAATTTAACCTCCAACAGTAAAAGGAGCATTGACCCATAATTGAAAAATGCTTCTTTCTATATTTTCATGGGTAAGATAAAAAATTAGCTATTTTCTCATGTTTCACAGAGACAGTTCCACACATGACACCCAATGCCTATCCAGACAGCTTCTCACAACTAATTATCCCTTTTAACTTTGAACTGCTTTAAGTGTAGCTCACACACTTAAACAAGCTCAATGAGCTCCACGAGCTTTGTCTCATGGCAGTACCTGCATCAGGAAAACTGCCCAAATGTTTCTCGATGGCTCCTCAGGTGGTATCTGATCTAGAATTTAAAAAAAAAAAAAAGTCACCACAGTGCTCATTTGATATCTGACAGAAAGCACCTGCTCTGGGTCACTCATGAATCGTGAGCAAATGTCCAATTTCTGTGGTTAGGCAAAAGAGCAGGTCGTGTTTTTGTAATTTACCCTGGGCCTCCATCTCCCCCCTGGCTCCGAGTACAGCGTCAGGAGCTGCAGACTCCCCCGCCACGACTCGGGTTCCACGTGCCGGCATTACCAGCCAAATAAGCAGCAATAATGGCCGGGAGGGCCCCGGGGGATGACAGGATGCCCGCGTTGGAGCTGCAAGGCGCCTCAACCCAGCCCGCCGACGCTTTAACGCTTCTGTGGGCGGTTACGGGCGCTGCCTGGCAGCCGTGCTGGTAGCGCCCAGCGGGGACGAGCGGCGAGGGAACGGGACGGGGGACGGGAATGGGTCCGAGCTCCTCCCCGCGACCGCCAGGGYGGAGGAAGCGGCACCTCTGCGGCGCGGCGCGGCGGACTCCGGGAGGAGGAGCGAGCTGGTCACTTGGGGGGCGGCGCCATCTTGTCCCCGCCCGCCGCCGCGCCGCGCTCTGCGCGGGGAGCCGCGGGGCAGGGCGAGGCCAGGCCAGGCCAAGGGAGAGGCGCGCGCGTGGCCGCAACGGTCGCAACGGCCGCCCGCGCCGCCAACGGCTGCAACGGGCGTGCGCCGCGCCCAACGGCCGCCGCGTGGCGGGCCCTGCGCGGCGTCAGCGGCCGGGAGAAATACAGCGCCCTGCATAAAGTTTTCAAACCTGCTGTAACACAAAACGACCAGCCCAGATGCTGCCATGTCGCACTCGTTATTTATTCAGCGCTCATACACGTATATACATGTACACGTGCAGTCAAACCTGCGGCAAGGCACCCGGCCACTAGCACCGGACAACCCCAGTGCGTGCTCTGGAATTAGGGAATGAGCAAGGCAGGATGTCAGAGAGCGCCTTAGTAAATTAAAGCCCTCAGTGTGACTGSAGAGTCAGGCTTTAAAATAATCCAAGATCAAAGTGCAATTGTATGTTGCTTCCAGTGCCAATACTACCGTTTTTTACACTGGCAACAAGTTCAATGTTGAATACAATGCTGGTAAATATCATTAAAAAGTATTAATATTTATAATATTAATATTAATCATAGCTAGTAATATTAAATATTGCTTATTATTAACAATGATATTAATAAATTAAAGAGATGAGTAAAAGCAAAACACAAAAATGTTCCTTTCAAGCAGAAAAGTAATTTCCTTTTAAAAATAAGAATAAAAGAATAAAATAAATTTATAAATATTTATAGCAGAATGTTTATTTCATCCATCCTCCATTTGTTTTCTCCTGATAATCAAGTTTTTCTAGTCTTTTTTGAGASCAGATTTGTATTCCAGCTAGAATGAATCTGAAAACTGTCCGCATGCCCAAGGCCAGAGAGCAAAAACCTCGGTGAGTCATTATCCTTAGTCTCAGTTTCATGGTAGCCAGCAATGAGGAGTTGTAATAACTGAGCTATAGAAGCAGTTATTGCATGGATTCGATGACCACACCACTTGCAAGAAACAGCAGAGTAACAATCCAGTTAATATATAAGAGCTATGTGGCAATAGAGAATTCTACATGTTAAGGAATCTTTGTAAAAATCAAAAGCCATTCTAGACTTGTAGGTAGAAATAATAMTCAAACAGGCCACCTTACAGATGGRAGAAGTCTAACTATTTACTGAGTTGATGGAAATTTTTCTTTGGAAGATTACTTAGCTAAAAAATGATAATTTTCATAAAAATAGCAACTCTGCAGCAGTAATATCAGACAAATTCTGCTGCTAACTTGTAGATCTGGGGTCCAAAATGTAGTGGTGATGGACCTGACAGTTCTGAAAGAGTCTCAKTACCAGGGAAGTTAAATGTGACAATTTTACAATTCTTTCATAACAGCTCCCAAGGTGATCCTGGGGACTACAAACCACTAAGACTTGTATCCACATTGAGAAAACTAGTAAAAACATTATAATATTGGAAGATAAATGGATAAATATGGTATAGGGTGGAAGAGTCACCACTGCACCTTTAAATACAAAATAACAAATTTTGTGAAAAATAAATTACAATTATATAATATAACTACAATTACGTTTCAAAGCAGCTATTAATTTTTCCTCTCTCTCCTGAAGAAAAAAGAAGAGACACATGGAAGTTATTATAATTTGTTCTGCAACAAGAACTTTCAGTTAACCAGTAAGAAAATATATTAAACATTTTTCGGGAAAAGAAAACAAAAATCAGAAGGGGAAAATAAGCAAATATATAAATATATATTTCTTCATGCCTAAACAAAAACAGCTGTCTCCTAACTTGTATCAAGTCATTTAAATGTAGCTAAGAGTAGACACTAAAGCTCCACTGCTGATTCTCCCAATCCTTCCCCTAGTTGCATAGAAATTGTCACTCTGATCRTAAGTTTCTGGCATTACTCAGTCTTGGATATGCCATGTGGCAAGTACATGTTGTCAAATCAAGTAACAACACTATGCACGGATGATAGTAGATGAAGTGGCTACTAGCTTCCACTTCCACAAGGCTGCAAAGCTCTCATATGTAAGTTTTCTCTATCGTTCAATTTTCAAATACTGCTACAACAGAATGGACATTGGGAGTCACATTAGAATCTGAATGGATAAGAAAGCTGCAGTCCAGTTACAATTCAGCAGTCAAAACTTTGGCAGAAGGGTCAGAGCAACCACTGTATCAACAGGGCTGAAAAATGAAAGTTTCAAATTTGCTGTTCACAACTAGTATCACATATACTGCACCAGACAACATTAGCACATGAAACAGGCTACAGCCCTCTTAGCACCTTCAGTAAATTACCATGCAGTTACTGTGATGCATATCAAAAGAGCACAGAAATTAGAAGAGAGTGTCTCACCTACCAGTGCTGGAATTAAAAAGCCTTATAAATAATTTCATTACATTCTGAGTTAGAAGTCAAGTGTTTAAGACTAGAAGGGGCACCAGCTTCTTATGAAATAAGAACATACTGTAAAGCAGCAGCCACTCCCCATCATTAGCTGTGCCGGGTGCCAAAACATCCTTCAGCAAAAGCAGCGTTGCTTTCAGCTCAGCACTATGTGAATGGGCAGGGAAACCATGGCAAGACGTGGGACATAACACAAAGCCACAAGTTCTTATCCTTGGCCCACATGGTTCTTCCATTATGATCAGCTGCCAAAAAAAGACGAGAAAGTTATGGTATTTTGAATAATTCCATCAAGGGGGCTTCATTATGTGATACATACTCATTATACCAAGCATGCATTGTGGGCTGAGATATACTGTATTACAGTTCAGAAAACATATTCAGCAATCACAAGTTTAATTGTTACTTTGGATTAATAACACATGATGTTATTACAGTAAAGTAAATGTTCTTTTCATAGCTTTTTTTTTACCAGGCAAATATCAAAAAGACTTCATAACCAGTTTTCTCTAACAGCTTGAGCCAGTCCTTGACACTGTGAAACTGAATAATAACCTTAGAACTATCAGGCAGTAAAATAGTCTAAAACATATCTAATGCATTACCTTTCCTTCAAAAAGGTTCATCTTTACACAGTAGGGTTAGTGAGATACTGAGATACACTTTGGAAAAAAATCTCAAGGCAATCTCTCAAGATTGTTTTGTATATTTTCTTTTATTATTAAAGAAATGGGAGAATTTTAGACTATTTTGAGGGTTATTGRTTTGAAGAATCTGTAGCAGAATAAAGATACAGCGTAGTATCTATTTTCAGGAATGGTTTTTATTTGTTGTGGTTCAGAAGACAACTTTTTAAAACAAAATACAACACACTGACCAGTGCTGCTAGATTTTGATTTCTGTCTTATTTCTGTCTTGATATATTTTTAAAGAATATGCTGTTCTTGACCTAGTCCAGGGCTAGTCCCTAGTGCCAGGACTAGTCCTCACCTCTGCTATTTGAGCTATACAAAAAGCTTTATAGGGTTTATTTTCATGTTTGTTTCTTCTTCCCATTAAAACTGGTAGTCACAAAGGCATATTTTCTTCATCCTTAAAAAAAAACCATTTTCCTTGAAGTTTGGATTTATCTGGGAAAAATTAGTAAGCACTTGAAGGATTCACTAGACTTGCCCTTTCCAACAATAACTCTGTGGAAAGCTGCTATATGTAAAATAGCACAAGAAGATAGTTCCATACTAAATAAACCAAGCTGTGTACTTTTTGAGCTGCTCTTAAGACAAGATCAAAGGAGAAGGGGAGACAGGGCAACCAAGAGCTAATTCAGACAAAGAAATAAGATTAAGTAACTTCAGAGCATCCCCAGCTGGTTGGCAAAGGTTGCAATTAGGCTGCTATGTCACCCATTGATCATGAGAGTGCAATACTCAGTATTTTCTCTAACAAATAAGGGCTTGGAAAAGTCTAGTCCTATTTTGCACAAGCCTGGACTACCTTTATTCACAGCATTACTCTAACCAACAGTCACATTCACCTTTTTTCCTCCTATTTCAAGTAACACAAAGAGGACACCAAGGGCTACCCAAAAGTTGTTGCTGCTTCATGAAGTATCATTACTTACTGTTGGAGAGTTGTACTCCAGCACAAATGAGAATCCTTTACAGTCAGGCTGACACTCCACATTACTATTTACTCCTCCTCCCTGCTACAACTCRAAGCACTGAGCATAACATTTTCCTACATTTTAGGTTGCTGATCTGCCAGATTTCTCATAGTCCAAATGCCTTGTGCTGCCATGAGGTCCATGCAAGTGGAAGAAGCAGGGCAAGCAGCAGGCATCTCCCCCTGCCTCTTCAGCACRACATTACTATCATGTCTGCAGCACCTGTGCGAGGGTGGGGAGCCTGCAGAAGGCAAAACCAGGACAAGTTTGACAAAAGATACGCAAGTCATTATATGGAAAGGCTGCAACATGTTATGTCTACTGATACATGCTTTCTGTTGCCAATTGGATACATTTATTAATCAATCTAGTTAGGTTTGGAAAGATTAGCTTTTTTATTATCATCAGAAAGAGTTCTGAAGGCCAAGAGTAGACAGTGTTTAACCAGAACAGGGAAAGTGGTTATAAATCTTTGTGAGGAGCTGGAATTTCTAGAAAATTTTCAGGGATGTGAAAACACAAAGAGTAGTGCATCAGAGTTTAGGCTATAAAAAGAAATCTAAGCAAATTTAGGTAAAAAAAACCAAGGGTGTATCTGTCTCTTAGTGATTTAAAATGTAGCAGCTGATAATAATAACAACAAAGAACAGGTATGTCAAATAGATAGTTTCACATTTGAGCATGGGGTGTAGCAATACCACAAGTGGCATATGAACTATATTGTTTTACAACAGCCATTAATGATATTATTCACCAGCCATTACACTCTGATATCTTAAAATAATTATTCGGTTGTATTCTGGAATTTCTTACGAGATGACCAATGAATGCATCGAGCTTGATGTCCTGAATTCATCCTCTCTCATTCTGGGTACTAGGTGAAAAGTATCCCAGCTGGAAGAGCATCATCTGTAAAAGGCTACAAAGAGAAAAATCTAAAGCTTTTATGACTACAGTTCCCAGTCTTGCTGAATCTGGCATCATCAAGGACTTTGCTTTAGTCATCGCAGACCTAAATATTCTCTAAGCTGTATGCAACTGCAGGCTTTTCTTAAATTCCCCTTGCTATACTTATTCTATGTTCATCAAACTTCTGCTGACTAAACTGGCTTCCATTCAGCGTGTCATCAGCATCAGAACATTTCAAAAAAGAAAACTGAATTGTGACAGTGCTGCCTTTGCCAACAGATGATGCATTTGTTTGCAGCAGCAGTGAAAATGAACACTGTGAGTGACTCTGAACAGTTCTGAGATGTTTTCAACAGTGGCCCTTTATTCTGAATGACAAATGTGAATTCAGAAAGGAACAGATAAAATCTGCTGAACACATAAACCAGTCAACAGGCAAGTCAGCTGAACACAGATGGACTGAAGCCATTATTCACCTTATCTGAATMCATGACGTTTCTGCTGAAATTTCCTGACTAATAAATCATCAGGGGAAATTATTTGCAATATAGTTCATCTAATAAAATCCAACAGAGACCCTCTTAATTGTCAGAAGATGAAAACCTGGGAGAGAAAACAACAAAACATATTAAATAAAGCAGAAGAACCACTCGCATGTTGCCTTGTTTTGGCAGAGCACCCTGTAAACAGAGCAAGAGCAGTCACAGCAGCTGTATCCTGCAGCCCAGGAGCAACTCTCTCAATAGTCCCAAAAGCAGCATTGCACACGTTCAAGAAAAATGCATCCAAGTAAAAAGATGCTTTAATAGTTACTTGCAAATATGACAGTGAATATTTAGATAGAAAAAGATGAAATAAATACTATTCACTAAAAAAAAAAAAGAAAAAAGAAACAAAAAAAAAAAAGACTAAAACAACACCTGAACCTTACTGGGTTCTAAAACAAAACAAAACCAAACCTGAACCTTTTGAACCTTATTGGTTTTTTTTTTTTAATATCAGCTCCTAAGAGAGAAGGTATACAGAACAATTCCCGCCAAGTGGTCGTCAAAACAGAAAGAAAAGTTTCATAGCAAGCTTTATGCTTTTCTGAGTCTGTTCCAAAATCAAACCCAGTACTTCCTCATCACCTTGAGCATTAATAACAATTAATTACAGACAACTAAAAAATAAATCCAGGAGCTAGAGGAGCAAGAGCTTTTGAAATAGATCTGTGACAACACAGTGTGTGCAAAAAATGATTTTAATAGGTGCATTACCATATAGGACCTTTCCTAGGAACAGTGTTAATTCTGAAAACATGATGCATGTTGACTCCTAAAATAATTCAACACAAGATGCTTTCCAAAAGGTTTTTAAGGTATACACAAGTGTAGGTCACAAGCTGAACAATGTTTACACTGGATCTGAGTTGGTATTTTCAGATCTTCATAGAAATGATATGGGGGAATTGCTGAGAAGACGAGAGAAAGAAGGTGTTTTTAGAGTTGTGTGACAGACTTTCATAGCCAGCAGCAACAGATGCTTTGGAGTTTTTCTTTTGTTTGTTTGTTTTATTTTCCCCTAAAGACTCCTCTGCATTTTTGTAACTTTTCCACCTGTATTTCCTTGGTTCTTGTTCCACAGCTTCGTCGCTGAATATTATTCTAAAACCATCTGAACTATGGCCAGCAAAACTTCACACTTCTGACGTGAATATGATAAGAGACCCATCTACTTGTGATGCCTCTGTAATTTAAATTAAACTGGATTAATCTTTAAGTATTTGAGAATACATGGTGTAAAAAGAAAGAAATTCAGCAATGGAGCTCCAGCATTTGATACTAAGAAAAAACACTGACTGAAATGAGATTAATGAGAAAATAAATCCTTGCTGATGCATCTCACATTACTTAACATTATGGATGAGAGAAAAATAGTGGAAGATGGGTCACTGAATAACATTACATCGTATTAATTGTAAGAACAACATTACATTGTATTAATAGAAAGGAGAAGCAATGGATGAAAACGAATGAGACTGCAAAGGACACAAAAATTAGTAAGATATTTAGTTGAACATAAGTAGCCATAATGAAAATGCAGCAAGAAAGCTATTAAAACTTTAGGATATGCAGAAATGAGATCAGGAGTAACTTTACTGGAGTATTTGGCAAATAGCATGACAGGTTAACAGGCACGTTACGCTCATTTCTGATGTCCACTTTTTGAGTCATGAAGGTTACCGATAAACTGACGACAAATGAAGGGAAGCACTGTGATCAAATCTGTTTTAACTTGAAGAGACATTTTATGAGTCATACAGTTGCATAAAAGCACAAGGTGGACAGCAAGAGATGGATAAAGAGATCTTAAAGTTACAAAGCCATAAATTAAATTTTGAGTGAGCCAAGTAATCACTGAACAATTGACTGAAGATTTTAGGATATTTTTCATCACCATAAATTTTCAGTCAAGACAAGAGGCTTTGAAAAACTGACCGTAAGAAGTGTCACACAAGAATTAAGCCAGAGAATC